GGCGTTCGTTGCATCCAGTATGTCCTTCACATTGACAATATCTTCGTCATAATTCACGCAAACCTCTCGACCGAGCGCGTCTTTCACGGGCATGGAAAGGATGTCCGACAGTTTCTCGCCTTCTTTCACGAGCTCACGCTCTAAACAGTCTGCAAAATTCAATTCAGTCATGAGATCGAAAGAATATTAATGTGAAAATATAATTGATGATGTATCTCTCTTTGCTTTTACCTAAAACCGTTTGACTTCTTTCCAACGTTAAGAGCTTAACGCTTGCCTGGGAAAAATTGTAACTTCTACTGCCCATGACTAACTGATCGAATACTTCGCTTGTCCTGTCGAAGTACTGTAAACGACAATCGAATAAACGAATCAAAAAGGACATTCCTCAACGGACACTCACTCGATCGATCGTTTTACCTCGGAGACGAGCCTGAAGAATCTTTGTGAAGTGATCAATACGTTCCTACGTCTTTCGAGTCGTGAGGCGAAGCTGCGGCAAACGAAATCCATGAAGTCTCTCTGGGATTTTAGATCTTCGGGTAATCTGCTTTTAGGGAGACTGTCGATCTTGTGAAGCAGTTCTGCGTATCGTCCATAGGTTTCCTGCGAATTTGGGACATTTACAAATCTCTGCTTCTTCAGACGAAAAATGAATTGTGTTTTCAGTCGCGTGTTTACCCGGCATTGAAGCTCCAGTTTTTCGTGTTGTCTTCGAAGCTCCTCAGACGAAGAAACGTCGAAGCCAACTTGCCAACAAGAGTTCAGCATCGTGTCGGCTGGACCCAGGATCCAATCGGTAACACTCGACACACCCTGCTCGAGATCCTCGATCACTCTGGCGGTATCCAGATTCCGTTCCATCTCCGTCCACGAATTTTCAATGTCCATCTGAAAAGGGGAACAATTAATCGAATAAAGATCGACTTTGTATATCACTCGAGATTTTTATCAAATACCTGCTTCAATTCGATAGAATCGAGCAGCTTGTGAATTTCTTTAATAGTGTCCAAGGTATCCTTAGAGGATTCTCTGCTCATAGCGCTCACTAGACTTCTACCTAACGAACAAATGCAATTTATTTGTTTTGTCGCGTAATTTGCACACGAATTGTTGATCTCGAGCTTGAGAAGCTCAACAGACTAAGAAGATTGATTTATAGACCTGACTGAAGAATATGACGCGCCATCGACAACAATTCTGTACCAATCTCCCAATAGGATTCTACGTCATCGTCCGACTGTGTCATACGAATTCCGTCGAGAGTGTTTAATCTTTGATGCAAATTCGTCATCCTCGATACAAGCTCTAACGCGTCTCTCGAGTAATCTTCTATTTTCTACAAAATAAATCGATTTATTAGAAAACATCAGCGAATTATATATTTTGCATTTACCCCCATCACCGAAAATGTCCCATTTACCATACGCTTCTTAATCCATTCAACGTGATTATACGCTTTATTGCCCGCCAATTCATATGGCAGCTGGGAAAAGTCGATACAAACGTGTAGTCTTGTCAAGGTAACGTATGTCGGCTGAAAAACGACGAGAATATAATAAGTATTCGCGTGAGCATATCTACAGAGTATTGAAAGATGATATTGAAAGATGATTTGAAACTCTCTTATAGAGGATGTCCGACGATAATGTATACTCATCTCATGTATACGTATAGATTAAGTCAAACTGAAAACAAAATGTTCAACTGAATAACAAAATGTTCCTTTATCACTTTGCGAATAACTGTGTAAAATTTTAAGTTATTTATTAAAAAAGATTGGCGAATGAGCGCGCGTGATACTGTGAGTGGAGTAGGGACAGTCTATAGGGGCTATAGAGTGAAGTGGCGCGCAGGGAGCACTGATTAGCGCGATTTAGACATCACTTCTACAGCACTTTAAGCTAGAATATTGTAAATATTACTTTGCTTCATTAAAATATTCTAAATATTTTCCTTTTAGTTTTATATAGAAGAATTCTTTTGGGACTATATATCAAAGAATTCCGTCTAAGATCAAGATTATTTTTTATGAAATAAAATTTTTGTGGGTGTTCTAACAGATTCACTAACTTCGCCTTCCTTGTGCGACTTGGTGCAGCTGTCTACGCGTTTGTCCCAGAAGCCATCCGGTCGCACCACGATCACGGAGATCAGCTTGGACCCTATCAGACTCGTGGACAACCTGATACAGGATCTAGCCACACGCCATGCGCCACGACGCGCGTCCACGATTAAAACCAAACCGTTCTCCTTGGTCTCTTCACTAAATAATCATCGTTTAATCGTTACTCGACCGTAAACTGAACGGTATATTTGAGCATTGATGAGAAATATGTAATATTGGTGAGATATTAAAATATGCGTACCTAAAAATCGATAAAAAATATAAAATTAAAGACTCTAGTTTCGGCTTTGTTGTTGGATCGAGTTCCGGTGGGACGGTGATTACGATCAAAGGTCGCCCGTCGCGATCGCGACCACCTGGAACATATGCAAGCTTCGATTCTAGAGCCTCCAGGATATCTACTGCTTTGATATTTTTCGTAGGCATCTCTGTGACTTGTAAAGGTAAGTTTCATCTCAAACGATCTTCTACAAGAGTTCGTGGCCGATCTGAAAAGGATCGCGCTTTAACAAAGTTGGACATTTCCCAATTGTTCTGTTGAGCGGTTCATCGATATTATTAGCAATTATCACTTAAATAACATGTATCTATACAGCGTAGACCATTCAAGATTCATTCGCGATCAACGAGGTAAACGATTCCAGTCAAGCAAACAATTTTACGTTCAATCCCGCAGAAAAAATGTGGTGTTAGTTTTTTATTCTCGAAATTTTGGAAACGGACATTCCAAATTTGTGATTGCAACCTAAATTAGATGAACGGTACTCACCGATCGAAGGATTACGATTCTTACGGGTCAATAACGTCGAGCCGCACCCGCGATTCCGAAGCACTCGCGAAGTGTCACAGCGAAAGATTGTATAGGTGCAGCGCGCGGCATAATATGCGGCTCGAAGGCATCGCGGAAACTCCGTGGAATGCCGGTGAGCAGCTGTTTCTGCTCCACAAGGAGTTACACCCACGTATCCACGTGAGCAGCAGCGGGCGCGAACTGTCGCGATGCGTTCGACTGAAGTAAGTCGCACGTGTGCTCGCGGTTAGCAGCAAGAGAGAAGGCGAATTTGTCACGTGCAAGTAGACGCGTGCACGTGTATTTATGTGAAACCTGCACGAGCGAGACGCACGATAGGTGCAGCAGCGAGGCTGCTTGCAGCTGCGACGGAGGCTGCAGGAAAACCGAAAGCCATCTCTGGTCCATTCAGATACAACGGTACTTTGGCACCGATTAACCGTGTGTTCCCCCTCCTTACGCACGCCTCCTCCTTTCCTCTTCTCTCTCTCTCTCTCTCTCTCTCTCTCTCTCTCTCTCTCTCTCTCTCTCTGGAACCGCATTTTTTTCTACTCTTTATCTTATGTCGGGAGAGGTGTGCGGAAGTGTTTCAGGTAGGGAGTGACACTAATCGGAGATTATATGGAAGGCAGACACAAAGATACTCCGCTGATATCAATCACTTTTGCGCGAACGATGTCTAGACGACAATAACGGTTACCTAATTAATTAAGATTAGTCCAATAGAAAAAGACCATTAGATCGACATCTTAAAATATTAATTTTACGCGTGTCTTTAGAAAGTTTTCGCTTAAATTTTTTTAAAGATATTTCGGAGATATATTATCGGATAATATGACCTCTTTGAATATTGCAAAAATGCTCTAGAGATATTTAAATGTCGAAGGTACTCGTAATGATATTGATATATAACATTAAAAGCTACATATTAGAGAATGATATACACTATTGAATATCGTTGCAATAACGTATCAATGATTTCTTGCTTACTGAAATCTTTTAGATTTTTAGCCATGAAAAATAAAGCCCATTGAATGCATCAAGAAAACAAATACATACATATATATATATATATATATATATATATATATATCAATAACATTATAGTAGAACTTAATAAAAAATTTTCTTGATTACACAATTTATAGCAATTATTTCTGTATGTGATTATAATTATAAATATATCAAACATTTTTTCCTCAGTATATGTTGCCTCAGGAGACAATATTTTTATAAGAAAATCGACGTCTACGAACATGGGTATCAATGACCCAAATAGTTCGCATATACTATAATATACTAAATTACGAAGAACATGGAGAGAACGAATTGCATTCTCTACTTATCATGAAAGAAGCGAAAGCGCACCAGAGAGATTTGCTACATTAACGCTGTATTAACTCTAAGAAGACATGCGCCTGCAAAAAATCGCGGTCGAGATACAATTTCGCGACGTTACATCGCACTTCTTCGCGAAAGTCCTTCGATTGTGCTCGATAAGAAAGGTCCGTAGCCGCGGTTTGTGTGTGACAGGCGGCAATTTTACGTCAAATCGCTCAATTATCTAGGCACGTCATAAGCGTGATCGGCGAAGCTACGAGGAAGAACGTGCCTCGCGTACTTGCATTTTATAGTAAAAGACGACCGAATGACAATACCGCTTTCTGCGCGCGAGCTTGCGAGTATCGGTACATCGTACCACGTGGTTCCATTCTGAGATGCGGCGCACGGTTACGAAAGGCACGGGGATCGGGCACGCGTGCCCGCACAATAGCTATACCCGACATTCAAATGCAAATCGCGATACGACACTCGAATATCTCACTGTTAAACGACGTTTCATCTTCTTCCTTGGCGATCGCAGCTGTGCGCAATTAATTCGACAGTCGTTATAGCGTATAGTAGTTATAGTCATTCACGATATATTTGCAGCTTACTTATATCGATTTATACCGATATTTGCGCCATTTAGGAAGCATCTGAGAGAACACGTTGGAGGAGGAGAATATAGGTAAAGAGTAGGAACGCCGGCGAGTCAAAGATAGACGTCGAGAGAACCTGAAGAGACTTGGTGTCGCTACAGTCGTCGACCACGAAGAAGTTCGCCAGTGCTGCTCCGAGCCTCGCGCTATATCGAGCATACTCGCTGTCTTTTTCTCTCCTTTACTACACGTCTCTCTCCTTTTCCCCCCTTTTGTCACTCTTTCTCTCTTTCCCGTCTTGCCTGTATCTTCTTCCCTCTCGCTCCCTCTCTTTCACCCAGGTTGGTCATCATCGAAGATCAGCATCGTTTCGCTCTTCGATCATTCTTCAGACAGTACTGTCAATGTGAGACTTTTGTCATTTGGACGTGCGGGAACGAACAGAAAACTGGCCAGGGTCGGCGTGATCGTCGAGCCGGGCTCGACGAGGAGGAGGAAGAGGAGGCACGATAATGGGCAACGCCACCACGAAGGATTACCCGAGGAACATCACCGTCGGCACTTCGAGAAAGGCGCGCTGGGACGGTCCAGGTAGATCGGCGCATTCTTACAGTTGCGTTAATCTCATGAGCCTTAATACTCTGTTAAATCAATTTAATTACTGTATTAATTCAATTTCAACTTATATCGATACGCGTGAGAGAATGTCCTCTATGTTCAATATTTTAGTTTTTAATTCAACGTCCCAGTAGATGTTACTCCGATAAAGTTCAAAATTTCTCCCACAATTTCACCTTTTCTTTAAGGCTCTGTTTACTTTTGGTAACTGTCAGGTTCGCCCGTTTTCTAGAACGTCCAATGTTCATTGTTTTCTAATCGTCAATGTTTTCAATGCTTATTGTTTTATTTGATTGATCATGTAATGGTCAAAAAATTATATGAGTCATTATTGAGCCGTGTTCGATGAGGTGATGTCGACAGTGGGATGACATCTAAAATTAGACAGCTACTAACTACCGATCTGTCTAGTTTGAGACAACGTTTGGATCGCGTCTTAATTTAATCTCATGGACCAAAAACATGGAAAAAAATTCTGATATCACACGATGTCCACTCATGAGACGATGCACCGTCAATGCGCGTTGAAAAAAAGATAGCTATGAAGCTACAGTGACGAATATTCAATAGATCTGTAGAGCCGAACGCACCACCGTACCGCTAAATGCTATGCTTTTATTTTGGGAGCGCCACTTACGTACTGATGTTGAAAATTATCTGCTCTATATACATACGCGAGCATCATTCGAGCGAATGCGCGCTTCTTGACACATTAGCGGCGTGTCACCTGTTTTAAACTGAGCAAAATATTTTAATGAACATCAACACAGAGCGACTTTCCTCTCGTGTGGAAAATTATCACACATGCGTGATGATGTCGAGTCCCTCGTGAGAATAAATGAGTCACACGTGCGTGACGCATAGTAACAAACGCGTTAATCCATTAACTGTGAGTTTAAGGATATATTACTTAAATATTGTAAAAACAATGACAAATTCTTGAAAAAATTGCAGATTAATCTGCATTGCGTCTAAAAGTGATCACAAACACTTTGATATTGATTCAGAACCTGAATCAAAAGTTATTCCATTTTAAAGTGTGAATCTAGCAAACATGACGTCAAGTGACATATTAATCATGTATTTGACGTAAAACGTTATTTGATGTTATCTTGCTCATTTTCAGTGACTTTTGCAGATAAATTTTTATAAAAATAATACATCCTTAAGAAAAAAGGTAAATATTTATTTGAAAGTACGATCGTTCTTCAGGTCTTCCGGCACCACCAGGCAGGCCGATTTTGATATCGGGTATAAACGACGCAGAGCCGAATGTAGTGGCGATACGATGGGACAGATCACCGAGTAACGGTGGCTCGGCGATCGTTGGGTATTTGGTCGAACATCGACGACTGGGCTCTCCTCACTGGTTACGAAGCAGCTCCGGCCTTTGCACTTTTCCAGAGCTGACTCTGAGCGGTCTCGAGCCAGGATGGCGTTATCAATTCCGTGTCAGAGCGCAAAACGCTCTCGGGTTTTCGCAGCCGAGCGAAGTCTCCGAGCCTCTTACAGTCACCTTGCAAAGGGCCACCGTCGCCGTTTGCGCACCCCATTTCGATCTTGAACTTAAAGACACAGTCGCGCTCGAAAATGAACAGGTAAACGTATGGGGAGAGGGATACCGTCCTCTAAATAAACATTGAAGAAAATCGAACAAAAAGAAATCTCAGAATGTTGTTATGCAGATATAAACGTTCTTTCAAGATTTAGGTACTCTTCCCAACATACATAGAGAGAATTTTATATTAGAAGTTACTATAGAATTTTATAACTGAGAAATAGATCAATATTCTGCATTAATCGGTTATTTGTGATGTGTTATTTATATTTTAGGAACTAAAATGTGCTATTAAAAAAAGTACTATATTCCTTAGTGAGATAGGCCTTACTGGCAATATATTCTTGCACTGCTAAAATATTAGAAAAATATGGTAAAATTGAAAAGAGTATTTATATGAAAAGAAAACTTTAATATTCTTTCCGTGTAATAAAGCAAAGTCTAGGTAAGTTTATAAGATTGTTGTCTCAGGCCGAGTTTGTCGTACAATTCATCGGAACTCCGTTGCCAAAAATCTCGTGGTTCAAGGATGGTTTCGAGATATTCAGCAGTAGACGCACCAGAATCATCACAGACAATGGAAAAAGCATGCTTTTGATTCACCAGACCGCCCTCAACGATGAGGGTGAGATCAAGTGCACCGCCACCAACAGGGCGGGTCATGTTTCCACCAAAGCTAAATTGATTCTCGAAGGTTGGCATTGTTACCAATAAAGTAAGGAAACGAGATTTCTCATGATCCGATCGTTGATCGTATCGTTGGTGCGTTTAGCATCACCGCGGATACGTCTGCCTCGCCAATACGAGGATGGTCTGCTTTTCGAGCAAGATGAGACGATCAGACTGAAGGTGTCCTTAGCGGGTCGACCACCGCCCGCGATCACCTGGTATCACGATGGTGAGCTGATATCGAAGGATGCCAGGCACGTCTTCGAAGCGATGGACGGCGAGTCGGTTCTGAAGATACCGGACGCCAAACGAGGCGATCGGGGAGAGTATTCTGTCAAGGCGACAAATAAACTGGGCGAGGACGCCGCGTCTTTCCTAGTCACCGTGACAGGTCAACAAAGAAGATATCATATTCAATATTCTATAAGCACCAACGTAACATGATATTCTAGATGTCCGTGGGGTGACGAAATGCTTGCTTTAACTTTCGAATTGATGTTGCATCCTTCATGAATTTTGAAGTTTTCTGACATTACATACATTACACTTTTTCAAGAAATTTCTTTAGTAGAAGGACAACCTAAGTCTCTTTCAGAGACAATCTCAGATCGTTTCTTTACTGAAAAGATCTCTCGAGGAAATGAATTGGAGTATTCACGAAACGTCGAAAACAAATCCATCAAGAACGCGATACCAATCTGGAAGTTAAATCAAGCATTTTATCACACCAGGGAAGTCTAAAACATCATGTTACATTGAAGCAAATGTTAGTGCTTAGAAACTTCACATTGTTGATCTGTCTCATAATTTAAAATCGAAAAGATTCGTCGTATCATCAGCAGTCTCTTTACTCACAGATCGACCTGCTTCCCCTGGCAAAGTAGCGGTTGAGATGACCTTAGGCAGATCGGTGACTCTGTCATGGAAAGAGCCGGAGGATGACGGCGGGTGTAAAATCGGGACTTACATCGTCGAGTATTACAGGGTAATATCAGAATACGTAATACGTAATATCAGAAAACACAATTATCTCGAATTGCGCTTGAATTTCCCGCAACTTGGCAATTGCTTCAGATCGGCTGGGAGGTATGGCTTAAAGCGACGACAAGTAGACGTACCACGGCGACGTTAACGGAATTAATCGAAGGCTCTGAATACAAGTTTCGCGTGAAGGCGGAGAACCCTTACGGAGTCAGTAATCCCAGCGAAGAGAGCGACGTTATCTTCATTCCAGACCTCAAACGAAAGTACTTTATCGTTGATGAGCATTTTACATTTCGCGTGTTTTCACTTGCGCGACGATAAATTCATAGCTTCACATCTCTTCACAGTATCACCGCATCTTTGAGCGAAAAGTCGCAAAGTCATCGAGAAATTAGCCGATCCCGTGGCGAGAAGCGAGAAGTGAGCTTCAACACGCCAGCGCAAAGAACTAGAAGTTTAACGAGGGAAGAAGCGAGAACACAAGACGAAAGTAGCGGCTTTAGGTATAACGAGCGATCTGCCTCCACGCAACGCCTCACGACTCCGATGTCCACGGATCGACCATCTAGAGCCGACAGTAGGGTGACGTTTGCGCCGGATACTTTGGAGAACGAGCAACCTCCAATTCCTCCAACCAGGTCGAGAGATCATGCCGCCACGAGACCAGAAGTTCCTTCCAGGACTCATGCAAATCGATCCAATTCCGCGGCAGAAATGAAAGACAAGGTGAGAAATCAATAAACAGTAAAGAGTCCGGCCAGATGCCTATAAGCCACTTCAAGACCAGATTCATGGCTAAAAAATATTTAAAACATTTTAAAATAAAAAGAGATTTAAAAATACATAACATTTAAGAATAAAGAGGTTTAAAATAAAGTTTATGATACGTAGATTGCAAGTAGATACGCAAATACCAAAGTGGTCAAATCTCAGGTTTTAAAGATATTTTTTCGCGCAATTTAGAGAAGACAAATAAATACTTTATTCTCTTAAAAATAGCAAGATACAGTTACAAAGAGAGAAAGGACGATGTCGCCAAAGCCAGTCGCAGCCGTGACGGTCTCTCCTTCGGTCGTCGAAAAGGATCTTCAATCGTTTTCGGTAGACGTGAGAGAAAGAAGAAGCCTCTCCCCGCTCTCGATATCGAGAGCTCAAGAGTACCCGAGAGAGGAAGATCGCATCTCAACTAGCCAACATTTCCTGCCGTCCACAAACTTAATCCTGAAAAGACAGGCAGCCGTTGGAAACGAATCCACGGTGTCCTTACCAAGCAGTCCACTAGCTATGCATGCAATGCACGAGCATGACGAGAACGCGTTGCACGGCAGCTCGGAGTTCATACTGGTCCTGTATCCGGAGGATGAGGGACCAGGGAAAGATACGATCGACACAACGAACGATGCGAAAATCCGGATAAAAAGAGACATAAGTAAGCGTGAAGAAAAAGTCGCGAAATATAAATTTTATTTCTTCTTAACCGCACGCGATTTCTTATCAATCTACTTACTAATCCTTAGTAATTTTTTTAGGTGACAAACAGAATATCACTGAACTGATGGAGGACGAGGATGACCTGATAGCGCCGCCGATGTCGTTGTCTCTTCCGGAATTATTCAGCGAACAGCACCAGGTGGTGGAGGTGATGCGAGAAGCGGTCAGCTCCACCGAGTTGCTTCATGAACGAGCCATGGAGCGTTTCTATCGCGCGGTCGCCGCCGAAGAGGCGTCCGAAGTCAACAAACGGAAGACGCAGCTCGAGAGGCAGGTCGGCGAATTGGCGCAGTCGGACGTGGAGAACGCTCAGCTAACTTCTCTTCGCAGACGCCTGTCCAATTCTGGCGTCACCACGCAGAATTTGATCGCTTCGTGGCAGGCGAAGAAGAATCGCCGAAGATCGAGCGAAGGGCAAACCGATTTGAGCCACAAGACGATGAAGCTTCTTTCGCCGGCTTTACTGCCAGATGTCGAGGCCAGGTCGGACCCGAATCTGTCGTCTGAGACAACGGTAGTGAGTCCGTGGAGGAGGAGCGACGTTGAAGACTCCGTAGAACGCCTGCGTAGATGGCACGAAACGAACCTACCATTGTCGGAGGAGGTGCAGTCAGAAAAATCAATGCAGGCGACCAACGACGAGGAAACGACGACCACGGTCTCCGCTACGGTGAACGGAGTGGTGACTCAACAGATAGCACCAACGAAAATAAAGGAAGAGGAAAGGGAGGAGACTTACAGTGTCGAGACTTCTGAGGAGTCGTCGGAAGAGATCAGCAGTGCGGACAGCGAAGACTTGAAGTTACTGAAATCAAGGATTTTATCAATGTCGATCATAGATGAAGAGGACACTTACCATCCCCGAGGAAGGCCGATTCCGCATGTCGAACCGGAGATACCACAGATCCAGTACGATAGGTTACCAACTTTAGAGATTTCGCCCCCTCCGGCCATTATAGTGGTCACTCCCGTTTCACCAAGCAACGTGGTGCCCAAGTCGATCCTGAAGAAGCCCAAGGAGGAATCGAGTCTTCAGGACAGCTCGAACAAGTCGATTCCTCCGGAGAAACCGATCAGAAAGATATTGCCGCAACAGTATCAACAAGAAGATGTAGAAGATATGGATATGGATACCCAAGAGGAATCTGTAGATCTCCCAAGGACGTCCGAGGACGTTTTGAAGACGCCTGCAATGTCGGAATCCGACACGGATAGCATCGTATCAGCGGCGGAAGCAGCGAAGAGTCGCAGGATACAATCGAAAATGCGATCCATGACATCCGAAGAAGAGGCTGCCGAGGCAGAGGCCAGAATGGCGGTCGTGAATCAATACACCGAGATAGTTCGGGAGCACTCGAGTTACTCGAGGAGCTTCGACAGCGCGGCCAGCTCCCGAAGATCCTCGTTTTCCGAAGACCAAGATCAGAAGCATCGAGTGCAAGAGAAACTTGGGTCGAAGCCGACAAAGAAGCAGGATGCTTCGTCGAAATCGAACGTCAAGAGCAAGAATGAGGTCGACAAGCAAAAGAAGAGCAACCAAACACCAAATTCTCGAAAAGGGAACGCCAATTCCAGAGGCACGACTCCCGCAAAGGACACGACGAAGGAGAAACGTGAAAGTAAACCAAGCTCCAGGGACCAATCCCCAGCCGCGAGAAGAAGAGATCAGCCAGCAGAACGAGCGAGAGGCTCTTCCTCGAGATCGTCTTCGAAAACGCGGAATCGCACGCCCTCGCGGGATAGGAGTAAACGGTCCATATCAAGAAATGATTCTGGCGAATCTCACGTTATTGAGAAATCACTCGAACAGGGCACCCGCAGATCCAAAGTACCCTCCAGACCTTCCTCGCGCTCCTCCTCGAGATCGAATTCTAAAGAACGCCACGGGGCGACAGTTCCGGTGGAGTCGAAGGTTGAAAAGTTGCAGAAAGCGCTCGAAAGTAACAAGTACCGGGCGATGAAAAGAGGATCCGAAGTTGCCCAAGAGAACGCCGAGGAGGAACGCACTCCTGATCGAACGGATCAGCAGCTGGTTCTGGAAGCTAAGAAGAATGTCAGATCGACAATGAGCTACGTGACCGATCTGACGTTGCTGGTGGCAGCAATGTACGTGTACTTCTTCAAAAGGGAAACCTTCGCGATACCGTTCATCGCGCTCCTTCTGTATCGAAGAGTGCAGGAGGAGATGAACAGTTGGATACCACGTCGTTGGTGGTGGTCGAAGAAACATTGACAGGGACCGATGCAGCTCGGAATGGCCACCGCTTCGCGTGTACACCCCTTACATCCTGCTCACTTAATCGAAGCACACTAAACGATCGCCGGAGGAAATAATAGTATATTATATGCTTCAACACGATATTGATAATGTATTGAACCGCAACTATATTTACTATGACACTCTCTCAGCACACGTGTGGCTTGACCGGGCCTTAAACCATTGTTATTGTTATTCGCTTTATTTATAATAAACGTTAAGTCCCCACTCTCTACACGTAATCAATAAATCATGTACATGTTTTCACCGAAATTTCATCGAGTACGTTATTTCTGCGACGTGGTCCGTCTATTTCACTCATGTAGGCGTGTAAGTAGCCCAAGCCAAATGTTGAGCTACACAAAAATACGACACCTCTTCTTCTTCTTCTTCTTCTTTCTTCGCAAATTCCCTTAGAATTTGACGTATTTATCCAAGTCAACACCTGTAATCCGGCGCGACCCGCGAATACCCGGCTGCAAAACGACATTTCAGTTTCGCGCGCCGAACGGCAAAAGGAGAAAATAGGAACGCCGCCGCTGGCGGTTACATCAGCGAAGAGGAGACAACGTGGAAAAGAGGGTACGTAGATCCCGAACGGCGCATGTGCTTCTTTCGTTAAAACGACGAAGCCGAGAGTCGGGACGGTTTTAGAACGGAGCAGGGCCTCCTGCCGTCAGACGTCGTAGCGTAGGGTGTGCTGTATCAATATAGGGTCAGGACAGGAACAAGTTGGCGGTGGTGGTGGCGGAAGACGGTGCAGGTCTTCTTGAGTAATACACGCGTACGCACGTCGATCTTTGGGCGAATGATGTCAATGCACCGTGGGAACGTTCTCCGTATTATCTGACGAGATGACCTTAACAGGTAAGACATACAGTTGAGAGTTGTAGCGTGTATACGCCGGTGTAGCTGGCGCGCACCCACGACAACGGCCGGGTTTTTGTCTCGCGGCGCCGGCTCGTCGACGAGACGCGGCATGCAAAATCGCGAAATTTCATCGATCACGCGCGCGTGATCGTCAGTAGAATGAAAAGAAGCGACGAGCTCTTGTCAATCATAGTCACGCGATGCATGAACGGAATATGTAGCATGTAATACTGTGGTGAAATCTGTTGTCAATGTGCAAGGTGCTCTATTTGTCTCGAGCGCTTGTAGGCGCACGTTAGAACGCAAATGGTAAACAGCAACTTGGCATGGAAATTTATTAGCAAGGTGAGTTAAGATAAAAAAAGAAATAAAAGTCCGTGAGGCACTTATTAAGAATTCACTCATCGAAATTTAATTCGCGAACGCATAACTTGTGTTGCTATGTATATGTGCGCGTTAATTATCGAATAAGTCAGCTTTACCGTTGATAAGCCTAGTTGTTAATTTGGTATCTTCGTGAAAACAAATTCCGTCTTAGAGAAAGAGAGAGAGAGAGAGAGAGAGAGAGAGAGAGAGAGAGAGAAATAGAGATAGATAGATAGAGAGATAGAAAGAGTTTCTAGCGCGGTATTTTACGACTGATATAAAGCGCATGATCGGCAATGCAGTTGAAAATAATAATATTTAACAAGCTCGTAACTGATCTCTTCGAGGCGTCAACGCCGCGATTCAACGTAACTGCTACCAACAGTGTTTGCCAGAACTTTTCTCAAGTGAAACGTGAAAATATTTATTTATGTTAATGGTGCAATCTGGTCGTGCGTGGGTGAATCCGATCGGGATTTCGAGCGCAGTTTGCGTCGCGAAATTTACGAGACAGCAGAGCCAACAGGGGATGACATGATCGTAAAGATCTAGAGATAGGCTGTGTTTTATTTTTCTTGAGTGGTCTCACTTCACCTCACCGCTTTCCCTATAGCCGTCTATATCTGCGCTACAATTTTGCATGTACGTACTACCGCCAGGTCCGTAGCCATTTTGCAGAGCACGTGAGTCTCGAAATAGCAGGTAGCTACTCTCGACAGTAAATTTCCTACCAACATCGCGGATCGATAAAGAATGTTTCTTTGAAATGCGAAGTCTTTGATGATGAAGATAACTATCCATGAAGTTTATGTCATGAAGAAAAAAGAAATGTTCTCTTTCACGTCTCTAGTATCTACTGCTAATTAATAAACAACGTATATATATATACATGTATATTAGCAAATATATATATATATATATACACATATACATATTGGCAGATTATGCGTCGAGGAGTAAAGGACCGCCAGAATGGATCGAAGAGGATCAGATTGTGTCGGTTCAAGGACTCGTAGGCAACGACATCATCGTTGAGCTGAAACTAACTCCATCCGATCACTACGATGACCTGCGGTTCGAGCTGTGAGTACAAAAAATCGCGATACTTTTCACTGAACGAACATTAACAGGGCCCGTGTGTGTACCCCGGGTGTGTTCGCGTGTAAGGCGATATCTTAATTTGCAGACAATGTCGGTTTTTCGCGGCGTTATCGTCCATTCTCAAACATTGGCCTTAATTTGAAGTAGGACCTTGGAACGTGCCAAGGATCAAACGCGAGTTATTTTGGGCTGTCGCGCACTTAATTTCGGGGAACCGAATTACACTTGTCGCGTGCAATTTCGCTCGGTATTCTTGCATATATCGTCATATTCCGCCAATGCCAGGAACGTGAGCGACGCGTACGTGCACATTCGACGTCCGATCTCCGACGCGCCGGGAACGACTTGTCGGGGAAAATAAGCGCAATATCGTAAATAATATATCCTAGTATCGATGGTCCTTGATTCGAAAGGATAATGCGTTGCACATCCGGAGTCCATTTGGAAATCTATTTTGAGATAGTATGTAGATGATCTCATCCAGCTTCGTACTTTAAACAGAAAAATCTGATAGGTGAGCATCGATAACAATCTCCATTATTCCTTGACGTTACAATAGTTATTACTTGAAACTCGTCTCAAGATTCGAATACAGAGTTAGATGAGAGTTTCTCAATTGAATCGCAATTAAAAGTCATATAAATCATAATTTAACCGACAAAGTAGAATCCAACTCTGAATAAATGCTGAGTATCTCTCAAATCATTCTCAGACATTCCTCGTATATCCTGACGCAACGTACTTCCGACGAAAGATTAACGGCGGCGCGATTCATACGCTTCGTCCAACACACACTTGACGCACGAGATGCGATATTCATTCGACGCTTTATATTTGCATATCAAGAGGTAACCATCGAATTGCATTCCCATCTCAGTCAGTGCCGAAGATACGCGTCAAACCCGCGCGGGATATTTCAATCGTCGCGGCAGGTCCAAACACAACGTCACAACGACACGATGGCGATACGAGTGAATTACGGAAATTTCAAACTCTTCGCGCCTCGTGCTCGTCCCCACTCGCGCGACAGGCGCTTACGTGGCTTTACGTAAGCTAATTCCGACACCACGCTCGCGGGATTTTCGCGAAAAAACGAGAGAAGCGTCCATGCCACTGGCTAGTCCAGCTACTCCTCGGTTGGCTCTAGCCAGTCTTCTATATGAAATAGTCCGTTGCTTACAGTTCCTTGAAACTATACACGAAACTGATGATGGAGGTGGAAAATTGGGAGGGGACGACCTGACGTTGGCGTCTCCCTATCAGTCTGACGCTGAGAGAGCGTCGCGACGACCGACGAACCCCTAAGAAAGGGTTTGAACTATTCGAGTGTACCGATTTCGCGGCTCTTCTTGCGCATTAAAGAAAATCTCGCGTTCGTGAGGCTGGCACGCTTGAATCTAGGTTATTTTGACTTCGCGGGGTCGATCACGTGTCACCTCGTCGAAACGCAAGGTCTGAGGTAAAAATCACCGATCGTGATCGAAAATTTCAGCAGAATCCCTTCATTATCGTAGATTCTGTTATTGAATAAGGAATTCCTGGAAAAACGCAACAACTCGTGGCTATGAGTCCCAAGGTAGAGACCATGACATCGTGGAAGAACAAGGGAAGACCAAAGATCAGACATTATCGGCAAACTGAGCTGCCTTAATTATCGTGACGTGGTTTGACAGTGACTGCCTCGAAAACGAAGCGACGCATCGATGTCTTCGATAAATATAAGATGCACATACCGGTGCCTCAATGAAACGAGCTTGCAAGGCGCAAACGCGCTGCCAAAATTGTCGATCGACCGATGTGTGTATCTTGCTAATCCTGTCGCTCGCGCGATGCTCGCAGTGTCATGAACGAAGATTATGCGCGACGGATGAAGACTGGAGTTTATGGCGGATCGTAGGTATTACCGTGTGATTGTCGATACGGAACGTTGTCGCACGTGAAGAGTACAAAGACAAAATTGCATTTACTTAAAGAATGTCTAAAAATGGATCTCGTGTCTGCTGGGACGTTAGTTTGTAAGAGAACGTGGGCAATTTATGGCAGTTACCTCATCGCTAGTGTATGCTGACATAAAACGACGACGAGGTGCGTCTTCTTCGTCAACCCAACGCCATGGGAAGCGATTGCTGCAAGTGCACTAATGGTAAAAAGAACGTCATTACTGGATCCTCCTCCGATGGATCGGAATATCGGTAGGGTGGTAAAAATAAAAATGTCTTTCATTCAATACCAATTTATTGCATCTTCTCAAGGCCGCATGACCTCCATCTTTCTTCACTTGACAAGTATCGACTGTGCTGGTGGGCGCTGTTAGTGTCGCATTAGCCAAATAGTAATAGAACGTGTCGCAGACAAACGATCGTTATTTGGAACATTTAAGCACTTAACATTACATGTAGCATTGCCTTGTATCTGTCATCGCAGAATTATCCTAAAGATACAGTACAAGAAAGATGTGAAAGGAATGAATTGACAAGAAACAAGGCACATCGTGGCGACGCCACGTCGCGTCGATGTATTCTCGCCGGCCTTACGTCAGCTGCACGCAGTTGCACCGTATTGCATGATCGATTGATATTCGGAGACATTTTTGAGGCCGTTTTCTACGTTTTCTTCAGCGAATAATTCGTCCCTTGTGGGGACAAGGCGAGCGCATTAATCGATAGATCGCGCCATTATATGTGCGTTTTTTTCTCGTCTCTAAATGAATCGGCCACGCTGCGAAAAAGATGACAAAAATAGGGCAGTAGAGCAATGCCAAGACTCGTCGGGAGACTCTAGATCATTCTGCTGCTCGAAATATGCCAAGCCGAAGTAACATATTTTTTACGTAAACGTAAGAATCTGGTCGCGGCTTAATTGATTGTAGTCGCGACGTCGTTGACAAAACAGAACTGTGCGTGATAGTATTTTCTTCTTTTCGCGAAATTCCATTTCTTCTTGTTCAAGCGTTATCTATAGCGTCTGTTGTCGTTTCGTAGCTTACGACACACGACGATACGTAACACGTGTGGGAGATTAATGATGGATCAAAATTGCTAATCAATTTCTTTGAATATATATGTGTGTGTGTACATTTCAATATGACTTTAATAAAATAAAGTAAAAATTCGCGTAACGTGATCTTAATTGATTTTCGGGCGATCCGAATCGTGTGAATCAAAACGTTAGTAGATAAACGGTAAATAGACTCGAGGGTAGCGGCCGATCCGATTGGACACCAGCCATAACCCCAAGGGGAAACGCAAATAAGCGCATTCGGTAAATTAAACTGCACAGCAGTTTCGTCTCGTGGCGTTTAAATCTGATTAGTGAAGCTATCAGCTTTGCAACTGTTCAATTTCCCATATCGACTCATTATACGTGACATTTCCGCGTTGCAGGATCATTGGTTCATCTATCTCGATTCAGCCCCGATAAACTTTTCCTTCCAGTTCTTCATTCTCGCTCGGAATAACTCCAAATTGACCGATTCGCTAAATTTGCAGAATACGAGATGGATTGCCGATCTCATCGGACCGTTATCGGTTGTCGATGAGAGGCAATGTCGTCCAACTGGCCCTGAAACAATCACGGAAGAACGACGCGGGTTACTATTCGCTCGTAGCGACGAGACTCGGGCAGGATAAAGGAGCCTCGAAGAAGATTCATATGAGCGTCGACGAAACGAGCTACGAAGAGGGCGAGCCTCCTATCTTCTTGAGAAGATTGAGCGATCTCGCGGTGAAGGTCGGCACCCGAACCAGATTTCTGGTAGAAGTCCGAAGTGCGACGACTCCGAAGGTACGATCTGACGCTCGAAACGCGTCGCATCGTGAATAGTTTCCTCCCCAGAACAGTTAATTTCGCTAAGTAACGCGCGTATTAACCGCGCCGAGAGCGCCATTTGGCAAGTATTTAGCCCCGTTTGTGACGTCATCCTGAGAAACGTTCTCACCTAAGACAACCGAGGAATATATCGCGCCAGGCGCTGCGATCAACCCGGAAGGTGGGACCGATGGTACCGGCGGTGACTTATTGTCCCGCATTTCTCCCCGTTCTTCTATCCTAGTAGCAGACGAAACGGGAAAGGCGAACCGAGAGTAGGCACCGGGAGGTCCATGACCCGAGCTCACGGCGAAAGACGGTGAAGAGCAAAGGCAGCTCGTTACGACGTTCTTGTGCGTCGTATTAATACTATTATTACGCATGCCCGCATACTATGCCAAAGACTATATTCTCCGATATTCCTTCGCGTGTCTCTTCCGCCTATTCGCACGGATCAGCTTAAATCGCGATATTCTGTTAGCGACGAATTTGTATCGCATAGTAGAGTAAAACACCCAGTTATTGACATCCCCCCTTAGTCATTAGCAGTCTAGAGAAACTTAGTTTTTCTTGCGATCAACGGCATTCGTTTTCACGAGCTTAATTGTGAAATTAATTGAAAGATTGGTCGAATTGGAATTTGATTCTGAATTCTTGGTCGCCATATCGAATCTGCCATTTTGTATTTTTAGCTCAAATTCATATTGAGCAATCCTAGAGTACCAATTTTTATGAAAATCAAGTCAGTCCATCAAGAAATAAATAATGTGCGCCATATGATGTCAATGTCCACAGAGACGCAAACATTTTCCGCAAATATATAGCATCAATATCGTGCAAGCGGTTAAGGGAGGTATCGATAATTGAAAACGATTAAAAATCCAAGTCGCAAATTTCAGATAACGTGGTATAAAAATGACGCGGCTATCTACGAGGTGCCGAGATTCTCCCTCGTTCATGAAGGAAATTTTTATTGCGTCGACGTCGTCCCTGTCACGGTGGAGGATCAAGGACACTGGACCTGCATGGCGGAGAACCGTAGCGGAAGATCCTCGTGCATGTGCACTCTTACTGTCGTTGGTAATTCGCTTGTTCTCTTTTTTCTTCTAGTCGCCTCGCGAATCAACGTCGCCGGTTGTAAACGCGATTTTCGTGAAAACTTTCAGTTCCCAAGGCTTACAAGAAGCCGGAATTCATCGAGGAACTTCGTGCATTACTCACCGAGGCCGGCACCGTGTCGTTGGAATGTAAAGTAGTCGGTGTGCCCACACCGGTGTTGAGGTGGTTCAAAGACAATGAGGAAATCAAAGCTGGCGACGTTTTCGCTTTAACCGCCAATCCTGACGACCCCACGTCCCTCGGGGTTTACACTTGCGAGGCGGTTAACTGCATGGGAACGAGTTATTCCTCTTCGAAGGTAAATACGTCTGACACACTGAAAAAATCAAATAGAAGTACTATATTGAGCGGAATATGTGAACATGTCATTATTCTATTTTTTCAGAACAAACTATACTCAGACAACGCAAATCTCTAAAAGATGTTTTAAAGACGTTTAAATGACATCCTATTTTATTTAGACGTCTTTGATTCTTTTTTTTAAGAAGTTTGTACGGTCTGATTATAAGCACACGTTTAAAAACATTATCTTCTCGTAGTTTAAAAATTATTCGCATTTATATTTAATTATCGGTTCTTATTGACCACATTTCTATTTATTCAATCTTCTCAGGTTCACGTAGTCGGAAGAGGAAGTCGAGAAGGTTCACTGAAGCCGGCGGACGCGCTGGCACCGTCCGGGCCACTTCCGATTTTCAAACAGACATTACAGGACGAATGCTGCCGAATCGGAGACACTCTTGTGCTATCTTGTCGAGGTAGATTGATTAATTATCTTTAGATTTTTATTAGTGTCACGTATGGAACGTTTGTTGATAGTTCAAGTACCACCATGGCCGAGGGCGATCTCCTGGTACAACAAAGCAGGCCGCGTCGAGCCCAGCGAAAAGTATCACGTGATGGAGGACGGTATCGGCGGATACTCGGTCGAAGTGAAGCAAGTGGAAGCCATGGACGAGGGTGAGTGGAAGTGCGTCGCCACCAGCGAAGAGAATATGAAGCAATTCACAAGCTGTTACGTGGCAATGTCCAGTGAGTATTGCGATATTAAAAAGCTAATCGAAAACGAACAATACAACCATTGTGTATCAACGTGCGCTTTATTTTCCGCAAGTTCCAAGAAACTACAGGAAACCGCGTTTCATGGAGAATCTGAAAGCCGTCCTGACGGAAGAAGGTCTGGTTTCGTTCGAGTGCAAAGTTGTGGGTTTCCCGACGCCGTTGCTGAGATGGTTCAAAGACGGTGAAGAACTTAAGCCGGGGGACGTCTATCAGCTGACCGGGACTAATTCATTAGGTGCGCGACCGTTGAAATAATTACTTATTAGGTGGTAAACTTAGTTCCTGCGGCTCACAGTTAAATGACGTTAGTTGTAGGTGTAATTTATTTGAAACTGGCTGCATTTTAGAGGTTAGACATAAGAGGTGTCAATAAAATTCAGTGCGAAGAGATTCATTTAAGCGAGCAGTGCTATTTTTTCTTTTGATTAAATATGGAACGTGATAAGTTGTTTTTTCGACATGTGCTGCTTCATTACTTTGACTTGAAAAAAACTGCAGCTGCAGCTCATAAATTGCTTTTCGAAGCTTATGGCAATTATGCTCCATCGGAAAGAACATGCCAAGTATGGTTTCAGCGATTTAAGAGTGGTGATTTTGATGTCAATGATAAAGAACGCTCAGGCCAACCGAAAAAGTTTGAAGACACCGATTTGCAGGCATTATTGGACGAAAACTCTACTCAAACGCTCCAAGAATTGTCTGCAGCATTAAATGTTACTCCGATGGCTGTTTCCAAACGTCTACATGCAATGGGAAAAATTCAAAAGGAGGGAAAATGGGTACCACACGAATTAACCGCAAATGCCATTGCGAATCGCTTAAACATCTCTATTTCTCTGCTCGCCAGGCAGAAAAAGAAGAGTTTTTTGTGGCGCATAGTGACTGGCGATGAAAAATGGATATACTTCGATAATCCTAAACGAAGAAAATCATGGGTAGACCCTGGCCAACCATCGACATCCACACCAAAGAGAAATATTCATGGCCACAAAGCAATGCTTTGCATTTGGTGGGATATGCACGGCGTCGTTTATTATGAGCTACTCAGACCGAACGAAAGTATCACGGGGGATCGATATCAATCACAATTAAACCGTCTGAATGAAGCATTGTTGGAAAAAAGGCCAGCAGTAGCCAGCAATCGACGTAAAGTCATGCTTTTGCACGACAACGCTCGACCACACGTTGCCAAAGCCGTCAAAGAAACACTGATGCAGCTCGAGTGGGAAGTTCTCCCGCACCCAGCGTATTCACCAGACTTAGCTCCTTCGGACTATTACTTGTTCCGGTCGATGCAGCACGGCTTGGTGGATACACACTTCAGAAATTACGAGGATGTGCGAAAATGGATCGACGAATGGATTGCATCAAAAGACCAATCGTTCTATCGTCGCGGAATCTACGCGTTGCCCGAAAGATGGGAAAAATGTATAGCTAGCGAGGGAAAATACTTCGATTAATGTATTTTTTGCTTTTGATGTCGAAATAAATGAGTTTTTTAAACAAAAAAACCACAGGAACTAAGTTTACCACCTAATATTTACATCTTTCGCAATTCGCACACATTGATTACTCAATGTTTAGGTTCTTACTGCTGCATCGCGAGGAACTGCATGGGCGAGGCTAAAAGCACGGCCGAATTGACTATCGAGGATATCCAGAATCAATTAAACGAGGAAGAACGCTTTCAACTATTGAGCAGCAATCAGCCGCCGAAGTTCATCAAAGGACTCAGAAGCTGTGAGGCCAAGATAAACGAAGATTTTCAATTTACAGTGCAAGGTACACATTGTATCTTCCTCTCTAAATTTCTTGCAATGAAATTTCACTCAAGAAATAGAGTGGCTAGTCACCGAGTGTGTCACTTGATTCCGAATGATTTTTTACTTATTTAGGCAATTTCTTTTCTTAGTGAGCGTTGCGCCAGAGCCAAGTCTTTCTTGGTACAGAGATGACGCGGTGGTAGATGAAAACGACAAGTATCGCTTGGCAAAGGAGAACCTCGGCACATGCCACCTCGAAGTGCGAAGACTTGAATTTGTCGATCAGGTGAGTCTTCACAAAACACGTAATCGCGCTCATTGCGATGACTCAAGGGACAAATATCGGTAACGTTCTCACGTTTCTTCAGGCCGAATGGAAGTGCGTGGCGGCGAACGATTTCGGCCACAGCGTCACCTCCTGCTTTTTGAAGCTAATCATCCCCAAACATTATAAAAAGCCGAAATTTCTCGAAAGTTTACGCGCGATCCTGTCGGAGGAAGGCGCTGTGAATTTGGAATGTAAAGTTATCGGTGTGCCGCAACCAGTTTTAAAATGGTACAAAGACAACGTAGAGCTCAAACCCGGCGACATTCATCGAATCATTTCTGGGCAAGATGGCACCTGTTGCTTAGGAACTTACACTTGTGAAGCCACCAATTGCATGGGAACAGTCAGCAGTTCCGCGTCATTGTTAGGATTCGAAGGTAATTATTTACGCACATCGAGTGCTATGATTCTTAGTTAACTGCAATAACAATCATTTAACTATGATTTAATAACATATTTCTAAAAAGATCTACAAAAGCTTTCCCTTCGAAATTCTGTGTTAAAGCTGAATTTTATTCAACAGACAAAAAACCTGCCAAAGAAATTCAGCCGCAAAATGGTCACGAGTTGGCGAGAAATCTGTCATTGTCAACAATACACGAGGAACGAACGTCACAGTTATATGATACACCGCAAACGGATCATTCGGTCACCTTGGATGAACGAGGCGAGGTGTCATTCAGTTTTGACGGCAAGGAAGTATCGGTTAGCTTATATGAGACGCCTGATCTCACTGAGGAAGAAGCGTTGCAGATCGTTGAGATGTACGCCGATCAACTGTCCGAGCATGTGACAGGTACAGAATTGATTTCTTATAAAAATTCGCCAAAAATTGATTAAATATTTTATAAGAAATTGCAAGTATTGTCGCCACAACACTCTCGCAGAGCAAGAAATTAATTAATTCCTTGTATTCCTCCTTATTGCTAATTTATTTAAGAGTATACACTGAGAGAAAAAATAACCAAAAAATAAAAAATATTTGTTCGGTGAGTACTAATAATATTCACTTAAATTTAAATTCTTTTATTAACCTAACTTAATTCAACCTAACTTTATTAAAATACAATCTAGATTAGCCAAAACCTAAACAAAATTAAAATTGATTTCTAATTAGCACTACCAGATTTATATGTGGATCAACTATACTGTTTTGTAAAGTTTTGAGAAATTATATATATTTTCTTATTTAAAATATATTTTATATTAGTATAAGTATATATGTTATCAGTTGTCGTCGAACAAATATTTTTTTATTTATTTCTTAGATATTTTTTCTCTCAGTGTAGCAGTCATATGCTGAAAAGTAATTCTGGTTTTAGAACACAATGTGATCGAGCTGCCGCCAATGAGATTCGTGAAAGAGACATCCACGTCAGGTAACCTGCTAATGGAAGCAGTAGTGATCGACGTATCGCCCGATTATTTTGTTAGCGCGGAAGATGGCGACGACCTGCGAACGGAAGCCGATTTTGAGGATGTTTCCATCATGGACGACTTAACACACGTTCTCTCATCGCCCGAGCGCGATTCCCGAGGTTCATTGAAGAGAGCGGCTCGACATAACGGGGAAGAGGACGAGAAGGCACCCAGTAGACCACCTCGGAAAAAATCGATGAGTGTTTCGTCGTCGAAGAGCGAGAGGAGCCAGCGATTCGAGTCTGAGAGCTTTCATAGCGCCCAAAAAGACGAGCCGCCGTTGTCTCCTCTCTCGTCTATGAAACAAGACGACAGCGATACCTTCGCGGACGCTTTGTCTTCCGCACACCTCTCCATCACAGAGAGTCTGGTCCAGAGACAGACAGAAAACAGCGCGGCTGACAATAGGAAACGCAGTCTGAGCGCCGAAAGAACAGCCGGCTCCAGTCTGGACGATGGAATCGGCGGCGATTCTTCCTTCGATTCGGTGACCGGCGCACTGAAGAAGCAACGCAAGAAGAAGCAGCGGTACGATAAGAGTAACTCTGAGGAATATTCAGGCCCCAGCGATTACGAAGAAGAGAGAGAAAGCGAATTGAAAGGTGGAGTTGATACAAAGACGAGACAACGCCCAGCCATAGAATCGCTCGACAAAATAGAAACAGATATTGGAAGCAGTGTTGAGCAAAAGACGGCGAAGAAATCGTCGATCAACGAAGAGAAATTGCTGGATAATTCAAAAAGCGCAAGGAAAGCTACTCCCGCTTTCCCGGATCATTCAGTTAGTGTCAAAGAACAGACCTTGGAAACGACAGAGGATATTCTTCTGGAGCCGAAGATGACACTGCACGAAGCTCTGCAGACATACGAAAAAATATCTGAAAGTTCATCACCGCGATTATCAAACATTCGTCAACAAGTCGACGATATATATCGGAAATTGGAGATTTTACGAGGAAAAAGCGAAGATATCGAACTCTTGATCAATCTCGAGCCACCGCTGCGTGCGTTACTGAAGACGATCGGTGAAATCAAGTTGGTGGAGGATGTGGAAATCGTTCGCAATATTTTGGAGCCGTCTATCTTTCAATTATCACAAGTTGTCGCGGATCTTCAATTGTCATCCTTGCAACCTACGCTGGCTGTTCTGAGGAAGATCAACGAGAGCATTCGCAGTATTTCCAATGGAACGGAAAGATCCTCCTCTGCGAAATCGATATCAGATGAGTCTCGAAACATATCCAGAGAAATCGTGGATCCTCTGATCAACGTTCAAGCGACGTTCAGCACGATCTTAGATTGCATGGAGCAATCAAGACACATCGCGAATGGATCTGCCAGTCCACAGCAAGCACTGAGCACGTCGGGTTTCGCAGCGTGTTTGATAGAACTTCGGGAATGCGTGTCGCACGCAGCGCACACCGCGATGACGTTAAAGGAAAACGAGACATTCAATAGCCTGATGGAGTTTGCTGAGCCTCTGCTGGATCTTCAGTTAATCTTAAAATCGGAGGAGTACACTCCTCGGGACCTTCCGATGATCAAAGAAACGATCGTCGCCATCGAAAGTTTGAAGAGCGTGATTACGACGGTAGCGAAAAGCTCCGAACACTCTGAGGCAATCTCCCGTGTTGGAGCAATCTTGAAAACTGTAGAGGACACCGGCAGACAAATGTCGAAATTAGCGGAGCGATTGTCGGAAGCGAAAGATGCACGAAAACATATGCTGAAGAACTTGAACGTCGACCAAAGTCTGAGCGGTGTGCATTTCGCGTTGTCGTCGGTTTTAGAGAAGCAAGACAAGTATGCGGCATCGTCTCATTTGATCAATTGTATTGAGGTATTGCGTCAGACCGTCGGCTCTTCGGCCCTCGCGATCGCCAACTTGAAGGACCCGATGGACAATGAAATAACGCGGGAAATCAGCAGACTCAATGAATCCTTATTAGATCTGCAAAGGAATTTATTGACGGAGAAGCATGAGCCAGGAGAAGAAGCGGTCCTGTGTAACTTGATGACTCCCGTTAACACGCTGAAAGAGATACTTCACGACGTAATCGAAAACGGCTCTGCGATCGAGTCGATAGTGCCAATGTTGCAATTATTGGAAGAGATAGAGAAAGATGCGCCTCTCGTAGCGAAAGAAATATCCAAAAGGAAGAAGGGGCAAGATGCTGTGAAATTTGACAAGGACTCGAAGCCTGCTCTGGCTGGTCAAATCAGTCGTTCCTTGGATCCCATTAAACACTGGCTGTCCACCACGTCAGAAGGCGGTACGAGAGACGAAATAGAATCGGCGCTGAGCTCGACGATCGAGGAACTGAAAAGAGATGTGACCAAGATTGCAATTCAGACATCGTATTCTGAGCCGCCGAGTGATAAAAGTTTAATAGAAGCACTGATCGACCTCCGAGAACCGTTGACGAGACTTCAAAATGCCGTTGCCATATATCACGAGCCGGAGGATCTCTCTACTTTAGAAGGCTTAGGTCGTCCTATGAAGCACTTACTGCAAATCATTATGGACGTTCTTCGTGAACACCAGGAAGAAGAGTCTCTGCGGCCGATAGTGAGTATCGTCGAGCAGATCGAAAATCAGATATCGCTGTCGATCAGAGAAGCTCTTTACCAGCAGGAGCTTAAACAGTCCGACAGGACATTCGCCGTGGAAACGGAAGAGGAAGTCGTCACGGCCTCCCGAGAGACTGTTCCAGGCACTCTCACGGAAATCGCGTCCATACCACTTGAAGCCTCGTCCACCACATTGCCTACTGAGCAAACTACAACGGAGGATGGCTCCAAGAAGGTAGTCGACGACGTCGCTTTGCAGATTGTAAAGGACAAAAAGCACGAGAGAGAAGAGAACGCGAGCAAATTAATCATGATTTTATCGGAGACGTTGGAGAAGCTCCAGTTAGAGATGACCGGTATTCTAGAGGATTTCGAAGAATCGACGACAAGGACCAGTACGATTCCTCAATCTAAACTAGCAAATTCCTTGGAGGAGCTGAGAAGGACCATTTCTACGATACGCGTGATGACCATCGTTTACAGCGAAGATATTGGATCGTTCGAGGAAAAGGTCAACCAAGCTACTTTGGTGCTGACCAATTTATTACAGCCACTGACAAATATCCGAGAGGTTCTTTTAAGAACGCACGATCACGATGTCTTGGAACTTATGATATTGAATCGGCTGACCCCGCTGTTAAACACGATAGAAAACGACGTAATAAAGCAGACGACAGACTTCGTCGGCAAAGGCGAAGAAACGGAAAGAGAGTTCGAGAGTCTCCTGTGCGTGCTGGGAGAAATCAAAGAGAAAGTTCCGGTTGTAGTTCAGGAGATATCGTCGAGGCGAAAGATTTTGGAGTGTCTTCGGGACATTTCGAAGCCTTTGGACAGCATTCTGGAGCGTATGAGCGATCTGGAGAAAGCTGCGGAGGAGACTCTGGAGACTGATGTGGCGAAAATCTTAGGCAAACCGACGACTCTTTTTCTCAAGGATATCAAGGTCGCTGCTCAGGAATTAGATGTGTTGGGTCAACGAGGACCGGTTATCCTCGAGTTGTACAATCTATTGGAGCCCCTCTTGGAGTTCCACAGTTGCCTCTCAATGGTGCAAAGCAGCCGACGAAGTTTAATTACCGAAGCCTCTCTGTTGGATGAGAGAAGAAGCGTCATTCTTCGAGCGATTGAAGGTTTGCAGAAGCAAGTCTGCCACACTGTTGAAGCGATTGCGAACATGACGGAAGCCTCCTTATTCAACGAGTCTCTGACGCAGCTAAATTTCGCGATTCTCCAGCTGCAGAAACAGATCGGCAAGACCGATTACTCGCGCCGCTCTAGTAGCATCAAAATTCCTCTTCAGCATCGATTGACCGGCACGTTGAATCGCTTATCGAGCACCATAACAGCCCTAAAGGAACATCCGGATCAAGACACGCACGAAATAGTGTTCAAGTGCCTAGAAGCGTTACAGAAACAAATTTCCCTCGCTCAGACGCAGCTTATTCAGACCGACGGTCAACTGATCGACGAAGAAGCTATCGTAGAAGGCTTTCTTTATCCGACTAATCAACTTCTGTCAGCATTGAACATTATCAAAGAGAACGCCCAGCAGGGAGTAGCCTCAGCAATCTCACCTAATTTAACGGATCAGCTTCGGCAATTGGCCGACTCTATCTCAGAGATGAGCTCTTCTTTGTCGGCACACAAGACGGAGCTCGTTCAAGAAGGCGCCTTGAAAGGTGCGCCGATCGTGGAAACCTTCTCTGCCGTTGTAGATGTCTTGGATCATGTGAAGGATACTATAATGACGATAGAAGAGATAGCGGAGAGCGAACGGAAAGCGAGCATGGTAGTAACAAAGGTAGAAAGTGTCACCGATGAAATCATTGAAATCTCGCAAGAAGAAATCGAGAGCGTGATGACAGTCACGGAGATACCGCCGGTTAAAGCAGTCGCTGAGGAAAATGCTCAATTGAAGATCGAAGATACGCCAATTGCGGCACTAACAACCGATTCAGAAAATCGAGATACGACTACCCGCATCGAGCAAACGGAGGATATGAAGAAAAGAAAGAGCGAAGAAGAGAAAGAGGAAAAGGAAAAACAGAAGCGTCTTTATCGAACTCAGCTATCAAAATTCAATTCTTCGATCGCAAATCTGGAACAACCGTTGAGGGAACTCGTCGGTTTTGTGAAATCTGCGATGCTAAGATCGACAGCTTCGAAATCTGAAGAAGACAAGCAGAAAATACGCGAGCTGACGGTATTGATACAGAATCTTTATGATCTACAGGCGACGAGTGCTTCCATTAAAGCGGCTTTACCTTCTTCGCTCATTACATCGTTAGACAGCCAATTTCATCATATAGAAGACATCTTCGTCGACTTTGCACGTACTATTGATACGGTTATTTCGCTGACTCACGGAGAAGTGCGGCCAGAATTGAAGGAGAACATAATAGTATCATTACAGTCTTTCACTAAGCCCTTAACTGCTCTTGAAAATGCATTAGTGTCTGTATGCGAAACGATTGATGAAGACAAGTGCGCCGGAAAAGACGAAGAGCCATTGTCTACGACTCTGAGAACCTTAATACCGTGCATTAACGACACCTTGAAATCTCTAAATGAAATAGAAATATTAAAATGCGTTAAGATTATTAATGAGAAAGAAGGAGAAATGAGTACAAAAATGAAAGAAGAAACGAAGGATATCGAGAAAACAACCGCGCGACCGCTCGAGGAACTTATAGAAGCTATCATGGATTCGCAGGAAGAGGTGAAAGGTGACAAAACTTCACCGTTTGAATCAACCTCGCCTTCCACAGATCCGATCGAATCCAAAGATATCGACGATTTTGATTCAATGGAGGTAAAAACGAAATTAAGCAAAGTGGCCGTCGGGAAAGTGGATAGTTCAGTACAGCAAATAGTAACGTCTGTTATGGATACAGCAGAAACACTACAAGCGTTAGTATCTTCACCTGATCAAATCGAAGAATTGCTCGTTGAAGAAAAAGTATTAACTCCAAAATCGTTAACGGAATCTTTGGAAGAAGTTGAGGAATTGAAACTGACAATGATTGCTCAGCAAAAGGCAGAGTTAAGTCAATCTGAGAGCGTCATGATGCAGGAAGGACAGGTAAAAGTTGAAACTATACGAGCAATCATCTGTCCTCTTCAAGAAGTGTGCAAAACGATCGACGAGGAAATGAGAGTTCCGGAATTATTTGATAAGAAAGCAGTTGCGCTTACGGCTCTCATAGAACCGTTGCTAAAACTGGAGATCACCTTGAATAGGGAGATACAGCAAACAGCATCGATACCGTGCGAAGGTATCGAAGAAATCAAGCAAGACACGATGACGTTGCAGAAATTGTCGGTCACAGCGGTTTTAGAGGAACTGCAGAAGTCAATCGCCACTGTTCAAGAACAAGTGCAGCTTAATACCGTGACTGAAGGCAGCTCGAGCGAAACATCTAAAGCGCGTTTAATGCAAGCTGTCGAACATCCATTAGAGGACTTGAAGATATCAATCGCATGTATCCAGCACGATACGATGACCTGTCAGCAAGAGACAGAATTATCGAGTACCGAACACATCACGGTACTGCAAGCCGTTGCCAAAACGGTGGAGGAATTTGGGGATAAGTGTATGTCTATTATTGGCCAACTGAAAATAGAATCTGAGCCTGCGCCTCCGTCGCAAGTCGTCAAGCAAGAAGACCAAAAGCTGGACCCGGAAGTCTTGCACAAGATCGTTGACCCGATTCACGTTTTGCATGAAACGCTCTCACAAATCGAGGAGGGTCTTCAAGATCGCAAAGTCGAGTTATCGGAAATGCCGGAGCAAAAGAGAGAGGCTGTTCAATTGAGCGCAATAATGCAACCTCTGGAAAAGCTGGAGCAATCGCTAACGGCAGGTATGCAGCAAATTACAGTTATGCAGGAGCACGTTCCGGAAGAACTTGGTGAAAATCGAATTTCTTTAGAAAGTGCAAATCTGAGGCCCGTGCTGGAGGAGCTGAGGAACTCGATCATTGTAGTTCAGCAACAAGCAGCCGTTAGCGAAGATGTTCTCATTGTAAAGACGATAAACGAGGCTCTTGAAGGCCTGAAAATGCCGTTGGCGACTGTCGAAGAGATCGTCGATCATTTGAATGAAGCTACCGAGACAGAAACTGTCTCGACGTTGTTGACATTCGCGAAGTCGGTAGAAGAAACAGCGAATCAGCTGCTAACTGCAACCAGTCAGCAAATGGTACAGCAAGAAACTCAGGAGTCTCCTCTGTTGAGGATGATAACCATACCGATAGAGGGACTGCAGAGCGCAATATTGCGACTGGAGGACCGAATGTGCCAAACATTAGAGACAGAAAAACCGACAAAGGCCGTTGCTTTAGAATGCATGCTACAACCGCTGCAACAACTGCAACAAACATTCTTAACTGCGCCTCACGAAGAAACGGCCCTATCTCTACAACGATTGCCGATCAAACCTACGTTGGACGATCTGAGCAAATTCGTGGCAGTAATTCAAGATCAAGTCACAACTGTTCAAGATAAGTTACTCATAGAATCGAATATAGACGACTTGGCGACGTTAAAGGACTTCGCGAGGTCACTCGGCGATTTAAGAACGTCGACGGTGGTCTTGCAGCAACTGAACGCGATAGAGAACGCCGGTCGACAGATTATAGAGATAGAAAACGCGTCCGCGTTGCAGGCGTTCGCGAAATCCATCGAGGAGTTTAGAAGATGCTGCTGCGTGGTTGTCGAGAGACCGAAGATCGTTGAGGCTTTCGCCACAAGCGTCGAATCAGAACAGTCGACTAAGATGAACACGCATCTGCTCGAAAATATTATCGCACCTTTGCGAATATTACAAGAGCAAATCCTAATCATCGAGGAGACCAAAATGCATCAGTCTGAAATCCTAGATGTCACGGAAGAGAGGAAACCAGCCACTGTATTGAGTAGCCTGGTCGGTCCCTTGCAGCAGCTGGAGAAATCCTTCGTAGCAACGGTGCAGAAGGAGCACGTGATTGAAGCGCACAACGAAGCGCACCGTTTGACACCCGAACTGTCCTCGATGAACTTGGAGAAACTCGCACTACAGCCTATCCTCGAAGAGGTGCAGAAATCCATCGCGACTGTTCAAGAGCACGTGATATTGGAGGCAGGAAGTCACGTGGCGTCAGAAACGGATGCCGTGGCTCTGCTGAAGTCGATCGCGCAACCTCTGGTGGACTTAAGAGCTTCCGTCGCGTCTATACAGCAAGTAACCGCGGTCGCGCCCGATTCCTTGAACGAACTCGGTCAACAGCAGAACGTTTCAACGTTAGAGACCTTCGCCGAGACTCTCCATAATTTGGCGGAACGCATAGCGATGTGCAATCATCAGCAGATAGTCATGGAACCTACCGCCGACACTATTTCCGAGGATGCTTCGTCCTTGAACACATGGGCGGACGTGATAGAAGAACCCGTTTCGCGAATCACGCGGCCGATGGTGATCAACCAAGGCACGGTCGAGTCTCCGGCCTCGATCGCAGGCTCTATCTCGGAAGATGAGGTCTCCGTGCTGAAGACTTTAGCGAAACCTTTGACCGAACTGCGAGAGTGCCTGGCCTTGATAGTCGAAGAGCGCAAGGTAATCGCGCCGAGTGAGAATGCGTCTCCTTTAACAGAGAACGAGAGCATCTCCTTGTTGAAGACAATGGTACAGCCTCTGCTGGAATTGAAGGACGCGGCCGCGATAGCCATTCAAGAGCAAACAGCCATCGAGCGCGCGAGCGAACATTCGTTCGCCATCGAGGGTAAAAGTGAGTTCGTCCTTCGTCCTTTGGTGGAACCGCTGGAGGAGCTGCGTCATTCGATCGCCGTGATACAGGATCAAATGCTGATCGAGACATCAACGGATCGACCGAAAGAAGATTTCATGTTGAACGCGTTGGCGGAGCCTCTGTTTGACCTCCAACGCGCTATATCGGTTTTAGAGGCGCGAGTGGTATCACCGGACATCGAATCAATGCCTGACGATACGAGCAACTGGATCACTGAGTGCTTAGCGACTCCTCTCCACGAAATAGAGAGATCGATCGCTGATATTCGACAATGTACTGTGATGGAACCCCCAACTACAGTCGTGGAGGCGCAAAGAAGAACACCAGACTGGTCGATCATCGAAAAATTGGTAAAGCCAATGGTGGAGATTGGAGTGGTCATATCGCACATGGAGAGCGACTCTCCGAAAACCGAAGCCATCAAAGCGATGATGAAACCATTGGCGAGTGTGCAGGAGAATTTGACGTTGCTCAAAAACAAATCTAATTCGGGTACATTCGAAGACGAAAGCAACACAGACGCTATCGTCGAATCACTTTCTAATCTTGAAAAGTGTATTTCGTTCGTCGAAAGAAAAATCATCGACAAACCATTGTTTGAACAATCAAGAACCATGGAAGCGGATAATACCATATCGTCTGTACTTAGTTCACCTTTAAATGAACTGAAACGTTCCATTGTCACCGTGGAAGAGTCACCGAGCGAATATCTGAAGAACCTGGAGAAACCACTGGAACTCGTGCAAAATGCGCTTGAGACAATTGTATCTGTGCAACGACGTGAAAAACTTTCGAATTTATCGACGAAATTGCAAAAGAGTATTTCAGATATCAACGACTCGATTGAGACCATAGGACGCAGATTAGAAGAGCAACAAATGCCGATCGTTATCGAAGTTCACATCGAATATGAGGCACTTGGAATGTTAACGAAACCGTTGCGAAATGTTAAACAGTGCATCGCACAATTACCGGAGGAACCGAACATTGCTAATTCAATGATTAATGCTCTCCAGAATTTGAAGAAATCCGTATCTGTAATACGAGAACAATCCGCCGATAAACCGTTGGCGGAATCGCAGGATACGCATTTGTCTACTACGATAGGATTTTCAAAAAATTTAGTGCCATGTTTGCATGAGATACAAGAATCGATAGAGACGACAAAGACATTGTGGCAGAAGGAAACAGTGCTAGAAGGATTGACAATTCTTGAAGAACCAATTTGCAAGCTACAAACTCTGATAAACATTATGCGTGACCAATTTTTAGAAGGAGAAACGATCTGGATTACAGATAAAGAACAAAAAGAATCTAAAAAGAAACTCGCAAAGGAGGAACCCGATAAAGAATATCAAGAGAAACTCGAGAAGAAAAAAGAAAAACAAAAGAAAGAAGATAAAAAGTTAAAAGTAAAAGAAGAACCAGAACAGCAGAAAACTGACAAAGATAAAAGAAGCAAAGAAGAAGAAAAGGAACAGAGGAAAGAAGAGACAGTGAAAAAGGTAGATCAAACGAAAAAAGAAGTAAAGAAGGAAGAAGATGAACAAAAGGAAAAGAAAGAAACTGCGAAATCAGAGAAAAGAGAAAAAATCGAGGAAGGAATAAAAATGGAAGAGAGAGAGCAGAAAAAAGAGGAAATAATAGAAAAACCAAAAGAAGATAAAGATGATAAAGGTGAGAGTGTAAAAGACAAAAAGAAGGAAGAAGTAAAAGAATTGAAAAAGAAAGAAGAGTCTAGTAAAAAAGATGAGACAGCGTTAACGAAAACAGAAGTAGAGAGACCAAAAATAGAGGATGAAGTTGAGAAAACGAAAAAAGATGAGACAGAAAAAAGAAATAAGGAGGAAAGTGAAAAACCAAGAGACAAGAAAGTTACAGAAACAAAAACAGACGAATCTATTAAAAAGAAAGAGGCTGTACAAATAAAAGAAGAGGAACAAACTGAGAAATCAAAGGAAGAAGAAGAAATAGGAAAGTTGAAAAAAGAAAAAATTGAGAAAGTTGAGGAATTTGAAAAGGAAAAAGAGGAATCTAGTAAAAAAGAAGCTACACAGTTGAAAATGAAAGAAGAGGAACAGAAGAAGAAGGATGAAACTGAAAAATCAAAGAAAGAGGAAATAACAGAAAAGCCAAAAGAAAAAAAAGTTGAAAAAACAAAGAGCGAGAAAACTGAAGATCTGGAAAAGAAAATAGAAGAGTCTAGTAAAAAGGATGAAACCGCACAAATAAAAACGAAAGAAGAAGAGCAGAAGAAAAAAGATGGAGCTGACAAATCGGAGAAAGAAGAAATAGTAGAAAAATCCAAAAACGAAAAGGTTGAAAAACTGGAAGAGAAAATAGAGGAACTTAGTAAAAAGGGAGAAGCTGCACACATGAAAATAGAAAAAGAAGAGCAAAAAGAAAAGGATAAAACTGAAAAATCAAAAAAAGAAGAAACAATAGAAAAACTGGAAGAGGAAAATATTGAAAAGTTAAAGAGTAAAAAGACTGAAGAATCGGAAAAGAAAACAGAGGAATCTAGTAAAAAAGAAGAAATCGTACAAGTGAAAATGAAAGAAGAACAGGCGAAAAAGGATGAAGATGAAAAATCAAAGAAAGAAGATATAATAGAAAAGTCGAAAGAGGAAAAAGATGAAAAGCCAAAGAGCAAAAAAGTTGAAGAATCGAAAAAGAAAAAAGAGGAGTCTAGTAAAAAGGAAGAAGCCGCACAAGTAAAAATGAAAGAAGAAGAACAAAAGAAAAAGAATGGAGATAAAAAACCAAAGAAAAAAGAAACGGTAGAAAAATCGAAAGAGGAAAAAGGTGCAAAGCCAAAAAGCGAAAAAGTTGAAAAATCGGAAAAGAAAAAAGAGGAGTCTAGTAAAAAGGAAGAAGCTGCACAAGTGAAAATGAAAGAAGAAGAACAGAAGAAAAAAGATGAAGCTGACAAATCAAAGAAAGAAGAAATAGTAGAAAAGTCAAAGAGCGAAAAGGCTAAAAAACTGGAAGAGAAAATAGAGGAACCTAGTAAAAAGGAAGAAGCTGCACACGTAAAAATGGAAGAAGAGCAAAAGGAAAAGGATAAAACTGAAAAATCAAAGGAGGAAGTAGTACAAAAGCCGAAAGAAGAAAAAGTTGAAAAGCCAAAAAGCGAGAAAATTGAAGAACCGGAAAAGAAAATAGAGAAGTTTAATAAACAGGAAGAAGTCGCACAAGTAAAAATGAAAGAAGAGAAGCAGAAACAAAAGGATGAAGCCGAAAAGTCGAAAAAAGATGAGAAACAAAAGCAATCAATTGCAGCCGAAAAGGCAAAAGTAACATCAAGCGAACAAACAGAAATGATAGATATACAAGAGAAAAAGAAAACAGCTATTCAAAGCAGAAGTAAGCGGGAAAGTAAACAAGTTGAGAAAATAGATGAAAAACAAATAGAAAAGAAAAAAGAGGAAATTCCTAGGATGGATGAAAAAATATCTCAAACGCAAAGTGTATACGTGAATGATGTAACGAAAAAGAATGATGTAAGCGAAAACGAGCGGCAATATAAGAAATCAAATGAAGCTTGGGAACGAGAAGAGAAATCGCATATAAAACAAAAAGAAAAGAAATTTAGCGAGAAAATTTCAGAATCTCAGGTAGGAAAAGATAAAGATTTACGTTCAAAAATAACCGAAGATAAAGAAATAAAAGTAATGAAAAGAGCAGAGGAACGATTACAACGATGGCCTCAGGATATTGAAAGCGATGAATCCAGGATATGGAAGGAGAGATACGATGGTTCAAAAAGAGATTACGACGACAAGCCACATCAAATAGAAATAGAACACTTAACAAGGAAAAAAGGTGTGAGTCGATTCAAAAGAGATGAGACCGATTATGCGTCTGGAGCAAATGAGGAGAAAGCCCAAAGGTGGAGCGATGAAAAGTGGCTGAGGAAAGAAGAAAATGCCAGATTGTTACGAGAAGAAGAACAAAGATTACGAAAGAGACGAGATGAGGAGATATCCAGGAGCAAGCAAAGAAGAGAAGAGCTAATTAGAGAAATGGAATGGTCCAGGAAACGTCAAAGCGAATCCGATCGTTTCCTTAGAGACATGTTGGAAACAAAATACAAGCCTGAAAAGTCGACCTCGATGTTCTTTGACACCGATTATTCGCGAGACAAATGGGAACATATCTCCCGGTTTGATTCTGGAATTTCAACGATGTTCTCCAGCACGTCCAGATCATACAGCTGGAGGGATTCACTGACGTCGCTGAATCGACGAAGAATCGACGATTACTGGAATTATAAATTACGCAATTTCTCCACGAGTAAATATTACATGGACACGGGATCGCCTTACAGGAGACGTAGAAGAAGAGAAAACCGTATGATTCGAGCAAGATCGACTGGTTTGTTGAAGTACGAGGACTACTCGACTGGCGATAGCGACGCGACTCTTGTACCCAGCACGCGCATTCGACTTACTCGACGTGCGAAAACGGAGACTGTGCCACGTATCAGCCTCGACAGCTACGATTCCAGTTCCTCGAGTTACGTCGGACTCAGCCAAAGTAGCGAGGTAGTTATTCAAGATTAAATAAATAATAAAATATATTGATGCAAATAACTGATCTTCGTTCAAGGCTATGTAATCTCATTTTAAGATTTATATGGCCAAAAGTAAAGATATTTTCAAAACGAAAATATTATTTCTTTTGTGCACAGAGTCTTTCGACCTGGGATAAACCGAAAAAACCGTCGTTTTGCACGAGATTGACAAACAGAGTCGTAGGAATTGGTATGAGGACAAGACTGACTTGCACCGTTCTCGGTAACCCGGAACCACGAGTGCACTGGACGAAGGACGGCGAAAAGTTGGACGCATCGTCCAACCGTTACAAGACGCGATGTGAGAATGGTATGGCGTATCTGGAGTTGCACGACGCGCTTCCTGAGGATGCTGGAGTGTACATGTGCGTGGCCGAGAATACGCACGGCACCTCGACCAGCGAGTCGTTTCTGAAGGTTTACTCCGATTACAAACCCACGTATTCGCCTCCGAGTTTCGTAAAATCGATCAAAGGTGTGTACGTGCATTAATTTGCGAACGATACGGACGTGTAAGCAATTTATTTTCTAAATTGGAAAATGAAATTTGCAGTCTCACTCATTTTGAATAAGATTTTCAAAATATTTAGAGAGTACATATCCGGGATGTTTATAATGTAATTTATAATATCAAATCGTTTTGCTTCAGATATTTATCGATACTCCGATCACAAGCTCGTCCTGGAGTGCCGTGTACGAGCATATCCAGCTCCCACGGTCTCCTGGTGGAAAGACGGACAGATTCTTCAAGGTCAACGCTATAGACAGACTTACCTAGACGACGATGTCTATCGTCTGGAAATAGTAGATCCTGACGCCTCGGATAACGGACAGTACACGTGCCGTGCGGCAAATGAACTCCGTACCGAGGAAGTATCACACATGATTCGTCTCGAAGGTAATCGAGAAGATATTAATATATCGCTGATTAATAAGAGGTGTGCTTACTTATAAATAACGGAATGACCTTAGATCGGGAACGACGGCTCGTGAGCCGAAGCGATCAAAGTCTCAGCAACGAAACTGGCCTGGAAGTTCCCCGACGACCACGATTCTCCAGTTTGCTGAAAGATTACAGTGTGCCCGCGGGTGGAACCATCGCTCTACAAGTGGAAGTCAAAGGTGAGTAGTTCGATTCGGTGTCTCGTGCCGAAATCTTCATCAATCTTCATCGATCCATCGCAGGTGAACCAGCTCCAGAGGTTAGATGGTTCCGAGGCGACCGGAAGGAGCCGATAGCGATACCAAAAGCGAGGACCATAGTTGAACGCGGGCTACATACGTTGATCGTGCCCGAAGCGACGGAGTCGGAGAAGGGCACGTATTTCTGCAGGGCGATCAATGCTTACGGACAAGTGGATACGAGTGCGACAGTAGATGTGATATCGCCGAGCGCGATTGATGGAGGGAAACCGGCGATGTTCGTCTCGAGACTCATGAGGAAATCGATCGACGCGATAGTCGGTGAAGACGTCAGTGTGTCTTTCCGGGTCAGTGGGGTCCCGAAGCCGCGAGGTAAGAGCCAACAATGCAACTTTTCAAGCTTTTGAACAAAAATTAATTAATTTCATGCAATTTAGCGATTAGCCTTCTCATTTGCCTTCTTCTCACTTAGTTGTACACTTATAAAGCCGTGTTTATAGTTAAAGCAATTAAATTTTATCTCATTCGCGGAAGAATAATCCCTTTCGCGCTACAAAACGCGAACTTAATTATATCTAATTTCAGTGACATGGTTGAAAGGACTAACAGACATCACGGGCGGCCCGAGATCGTACAAGGAGAGTATCGACGATTACGTCAGGTTGACGTTGAAGAGAGCCGTACCTTCCGACGAAGGTACCTACTGCATTCTGGTTAAGAATAGATACGGTTGTGACAGATGCTTCTTCTCGATCAAGGTGAGGATATTTGTATGAATCTATACTTTGCGCTACACTGCCGCAAAGAGAAATCATAATCACCGATGTGCCCGAATAGGTGAAGCAACGTGCCAGGTCGTTGACTCCATCGCCGGATTGGAGTTCTATTACCGAACGCGATGCAGAAGAACTGGACGATGACATGTCCTATGTGAGAAGTAAGTGGCTTCACGATTATCTCGCAAACTGAAAGTCATATATTGAGATTTCACGATTGATCGTGATTGTAAAAGCTTAAACGAAGTCATTAAGTAAGTCACGAAGTATTAAGTATTGTGTAACAATAAATTCAAATAAGTGTCAAGTACGTGTGACTATTTGTTGACTCCAGTCATTAAAATTAGAATGACAAACGGCAGGCCAAGTGCAATAACGTACGCTTGGCTTGAATTTTCATGGCTGGACGCCAGATGGTACCTAAGCCACTGCGCGAAATGTCGTCAATATTTAGCTTGACTACTCATCCAGCTGAATATGCTGATCAGCGATCTCTTTAAGCATATGGAAATCGATTAGCTAGATGAAAAAATACAACATATATCGGATTATTTTAGTAATTTTCGTGCCATTTTCACGCAGTATAGTAAAAGGTATTGTAACAATTTTTCTCTTCGACATATCGTAGGAAAGACAAAAATTGTCAGGACGATTGTTTCGATTGCTTATTGGCTCCGATTGACCTCTAAATATACGCACAAAATGCGTGAACGCTCGACGCGTTATTTCGAATTGTAACTTCTCAATCAGATCCAAAATTAGCACGTTCGCGCGATATTATGAGGTAGCACTCGTAATGTAAAATAAACCGCGACACGAGAACATCATAATTCTTTCAGTTGGAGAAACATCTCACGGCAGTTTATTTTAGTTTGCCTTCGTTACATTCATCTCCCACCAACACCTCGCAGACTCCACAATTTGAAATTCAGTCGTCCTCGAAACGCGAATCATTTCGTGTGCCTCACTTTTAAAAATCTCGAGTTACAATAGTTCGCGCGCAGAAGGCAGATACATCTCGCTCGGTGAAGAACAACTTTTTCGTCTGGTTGCCTTTTGCTTGTTTTCTTGAGGCTGCTTAAGTAAAATCTCGTCATGAAACCACACGATCACGGGATCGTCGTCGACGACAAAAACGGGGAAATCACTATTTCGCGCTTGCGACGTTCGTGGACAAATAAAAACTGTTTGATCGTTGACTTCTTAGAATATCTGTACGGGCATCGAGGTTAGCCAAAGAATAAGAATTATCTATGCATTTTCTTCTCAACAATAGATTTATGCAAGTGTGAATTACGCGATTATGAATTTTTGTAATTAATTCCGCGAGGTAGATGAGTAATTTTTAATGATTTGTTTATTAGATGTGCCCGGTCCAATCAGTAGTGAACCCGTCGTTGTTGACGGTGGCAAAAATTGGCTCTCGTTGACTTGGGGTAAGGCAGAAAGAAGAGGACCAGCACCAGTAATCGCTTACAAGGTCGAGGCTTGGCTGTTAGGCGGCGAAGGAGGCGCGCGATGGGTAGAAGTAAGAGACAAACGCTTTTTTAATTATTTCTAATACTAAATTTAATTAAAACACTATTTGAACTAGTTAAGTCAATTTATATTAATTTATATTAATTACTCAATTATTAAAGAATACTGAGGTTTTTTCTACTGATATTTATTTTTATTGTTATATTTTTATTTTCTTTTTTCATCTTATTTGTATCTTTTTACTTTAATGACCACTTTCAATAAATAAATAAATAAGACAAAATTTAACTCAATTTACCTATATTAGAGTTCATATTATTTAATTTCCTCTCTTTCAGCTGGGAATTACGCCGATTAACACGTTCGACGCGTTCAATTTGCGACCTGGTGGAGAGTACAAATTTCGCGTGACGCCGCGAAATCGTTATGGATGGGGCGAACCAGTCACCATGACGAATTCGGCGTATGTTAGCGAAAGTACTGATCTTCCAGAATTCACGAAGATTCTACCAGGTCAGTTGAAAGCTCTCGAGGGAACGCTGGTGAAATTGGAATGCGAGGTAAGTTCGTGAGAAGCGAACACGCGATGTTCTGTCAGTAATTTTTTACTTTATCTCATAACCGAACGATTTCCTCTAGATTCGCGGGGATCCCAAGATGGAGGTGCGATGGTACCGCGAAATGACGGAGTTAGACCCACGAAGTGATTCAAGATTCGCGATATATTACGACGCTTCCAAATATTCTCTAACAATTGCAAACGTCAACGAAGACGACTCCGGGAGATACGTTTGCGAAGCAAGCAACAGAATCGGCAAGGTATCGTCGTTCGCCAGAGTCCTCGTCGTCAATGATCTGAAAATCATCGAGGCCGACGCAAAACTCAGAACGAGGTAATTAGATATACCGTATCGAGGTAATTAGATATACACGTATCGAGACCACACGATAACGCGTTATACGATTTCATGGAAAGTCTGAGCATCGAACCAGAGGACAAACCGCCACAATTTACCATGAGGATACGAGATAGACGAGTGCAGACGACTTATCCGGTCAGGCTCACCTGCCAAGTCATCGGACACCCCGCTCCAGAGATCACATGGTACAAGAACGAAGAAGAGATCTTTCAAGATGGTAATTATCTCACTTCACTGTTGGATGTTAATCAATTAAAATTTTCTTTCACTAAAATAATCGATAAATCGATAAGGGGGATGTCGGAGTGACTTCCAAACTGAAACTTTGACTTATCTGCAGGGAAGTAAGAAATGTTGGTAACGTCTGTCGGTAAAAATGTCGATAAAACAGACTCACTCCGACATCCCTTTAATTCGTGAAAATTTTTATGTCAATTTTCTATCTCAAATATATTCCTTCCTTTAGACCGTCACATCTTTTGGGATGACGACTCGAATTTCCATACTCTGGAGATTATTCATTCCAACCTCGAGGACTCCGGATGCTATATGGCGACAGCCAGAAACATAAACGGCTCGGTGTCCTGTCGATGTACCCTCGTGGTGGACAAGGGTATTCGCGCTTACATCGCTCCGGAATTTCTACGCGACCTCGACGCCGCTTATACGATTCAGCTAGGTGGAGAACTACGAATGTCCGCACAGCTCGAGGCTTACCCGAGTGTCGGCGTGGTGTGGTGAGCTATCTACACGGAAAAAACAACTTCATTAGTACAACTGAATTTTTTATTATCTGAGAACCAAATAAAAAAAGTCCTTCCTATAAGTTTCCACTTGGCTAATTGCTCTCAGTTATCTCAACCGAACTTTAATATAGCTCAATGTTCAAATGAATGTTTTCAGTCACAGTAACGGAGATGTTGTTTCTCATCAGTGAGTTTTACATCTGGTCCCCATTCAGTTACACGAACTGAAATGTTTTTTCATGATTGTCTCACTGTCTTTTAAGCGATTTTCTATCGTTACTTCTCGTCTTATATAGGCATCGCGATGGTATTCGCCTGCGACCTAGTAGAAGGGCAGTGATGACCCTGAGTCACGACGGTGCCGTCCAATTCTCTCTAGCTAATATTACCGATCGCGACGCCGGAGTTTACACCTGCACCGCAACGAATGCGGTAGGACACACAGAGACAAACACCAGAGTAGCTGTGGTAACATCCACGAGCCAGGATCACTCATTCATCGATAGATCATACAACATTACGAGTGCAACTCCGGATATACCGTAAGTCGCACCATAATTTCGACGTGTCCCAACTGTGAAGTTTTAACAAATGTGAAATCTTTCAGGTATTCTAAGGAGCCTCTTTTCGTCACGAAACCATTATCAACTGAAGCGGTCGAGGGTGACACAGTCATCATACTCTGCGAGGTTGTCGGAGATCCCAAGCCAGAAGTGATATGGCTGCGCGACTTTCTGAAGGTGAGTTATATAGTTTCGCAAATGGAAGCTTGATCAGCGTTGAAGTTGTGAAATTGGTCGTACTAACCAAATTTAATAGTAAAACAACAAAATTATGTGGTTGCTGCAACCACAGAACAATTGCTGAGTTACGGGCGTTTCAGCAATGACGATATCTAGTTGTTCCAACCAGTGTGTATTCATGGTAAATATCACCCCAATCACCATCTTACTATCACACAAAGATAATTAAGACAACTAGGATAACTGATATAACCATACTGCTCACAATTAAATATTTCTAGTTATGTACACTATGTCTTTTCTTCTGTGTGTGCAAAAGATGAAACGATACGTGTGCAACGCGCGCCTTGACTAGTCTTGTGGGTCGAGTTAGCCGTAGAATAATGACTGACAGAGCGTATTATACGTACAAGGGAACGAACAGAGCATTGTATGCACCGAGAAAGTGGCATTGACATTGATCGAATGTTAACGATGCGTTACGTCACGATGCACTTTTAACACGAACAGAAGAACGAAACGCAACGTATGGGGAAGGGACTCGCGCTGTCAATCGCCAACTTACGAATCCGCAATCGGCAAACGGAAGTGGTGCATTGACCGACGAAATCTACGTTCATGGTGTCCGCACGTCACCCCAGAATATCTGCATTAATCGCGAAATATACGTGCGGAACGGTGTCCCCACTTGTCGTCAGCCAGGTCGGCTCTCCTCACCGATGGATTGGTGCTGTTACGTACGCGTGGCAAAACAGTCGCCGCGTAACTTTAGCGAACGAACAACTGCTCCGACTTTTGATCGCCCACGCTGCACGACGTCGTCGCGCTGTGCCCCACGTGTGAAACGCGAATTATTATTTTCATTAGACAATCACCCCGCGATCTGTGTCTCTAGAATTTGTAGCGATCAAACGCTCGATCGATCTGAACGAAAAAGTCGTCGGAATAATCAGATTCAACTCAATGCGGAATACTTTAGTGTAAGTGCATCATCGAACTATCAATTCAAGTGATTGCTCACGTACACTAAAATTGTTCTCAGAGAAGCAATATCCGAAAAAAAATATCTGAAAAATAAAAAAGATTTATTCAGTAAGTACTAATGACATATTCACTGAAACTTAAAATTTAAACTTTTGCTTTCATGAAAAACGTCAATTTTAGGAAAATATATATTTTTTCATTTGAAATGAATTTTTCTTTAATATAAAAAAAATATATATATATATATATATATTAGTACAAGTGAACATATTATTAGAACCTACCGAATAAATTATATTATATATTTATTTTTTTCATATTACTTGTCTCAATATAGGTAAAATGGAGCGAAACCGAAAAATTCTACGAGAAGCAAATCGGATAAGACGCGATCGAGTAAAATTGTTCGTCGAGCTGATGGATTATTAAACGCTCGTGTTAGAAATTATTACGCGAAGGTCGCCCATCCGCGCGAATCCCTCCTTCTTTCGTTCATAAAGATGCGAGGTGAATGCAAATACAGTGTACTCACTCGCCTAAGCAATTTGATAAGCCAAATATGTCCAGGTTGATTTCAAGCGCGGTTACGATCGACAGAAACCGACAGGCGAAAGTGAAAAATCGCCTCTCACGATGAACGAAGAGACATCACCTCTAATTGAGTCTGTGTTTATTATCTAATTAAGTTCACTGTGTCTGTTAGGCACAAGCGAATGCAAATCGTTGTACATTGATATAAATTATAGCTCTTCGAGCATGTCCTTGCTGCCTGTCTTTGGCGGCGATTTATGGCGCCTGTCTTTCGCAACAGGGAAGTATCCCGGCGCATAAATTTGAGCGCGGGCGAACAGGAGCGCGATGTGACAGCTAGCAGATTGATATATCCCAACGTGACTTCATTATGTCACGCATCTCCGCGTCTAAACGACGGCTATTAATCCAAATCGAATCGGCGGATTCGCGACTCGAACGGCGGGATACATGAACGTGAGGGGCGAGCATTAACGCACGTTGTGCGCTCGTGTATCACGCGCAACCAGATCAGACTGCAGCGATCTGTTCAACTTTCGCTCCCTATATGGGCTAGAGCTGCTGACGAAGACATCTCTCGTTTCTCGCTTCTCTCGCTGTCCACTCCGTACTCGTGATCCGGTACCGCATGCTGAGTTTCAACCCTGCGTAATCTTGCGTCACGCGTGTCCAAAATCCGTCCGCACGATGACAAGCGCAGGTGATCATAGCGTACAGTTCGTTAAAGGACACCCAGGCGAACATAATCGCGTGCAATAAGGTAAAAGTACAAATGCCTGAACGCTAATAACACTGGTATCTAATTCTGCAGAGAAAAGGTTGCCATAGAATTTTTTAACTAAGGAATAGATCAACGTTTTGTCGTAATTGACTATCCCGTCAATTCTGTCATATATGCTACTTATTTTTTTTTAGATTAATTAAAAAATTACTATTAAGAAATTTTCTGTATTTCTAGCGAAATTTACTACATTCCTTAGCAATATAAACTTTACTTTACAGACTATTCTTGCACTAAAAACACAGTAAAATTGAAAAAGAATTTATATGAGAGTAAACTATAATATTATCTCTCCGTGTGTGGACATTTTTACTGTTTTGGTTTTTACTTAAACTTTCAATATAAAATATATATGCGTATGTTGAATATATACATCTATTCTACGTTAAAATATTCGTATTTAAAAATCAAAATAATAAAAGTGTTAGGTTATTAGTATCCAGGCACTGGTACATTTATCTTAATCACGATCGAGGACACGTAGAGGCGTGACGTTAACCGTTATGCAATGTAATGCATCCTCGGCGTTTATTATAGTGTCGTTTAGGTTCTACGCTGTCAGTGAATGATGTTGCTCGCGGAAACATCGACATTTGAATCGCTCCTCCAAGTTGCTCAAAGGTTCACTTATGTGCGACTGAGCTCTCTTATATTTCCTCATCAATTTAACGTTCCAATGGCCGAGTTATCGCACGTGTTATTACTGTCAGCAATAAAACTCGCGTGTCGTGAAGTGAACAGAGCAGGTCGATAAGAAGTTATAAATATTCTCAACTCGATCTGATTACGCTAAACACATGCGCCTTGCGGGTCTAGGATTGTCGAGATCAGTCGTGGTTTCATGCAATTTCCGTCTTGCAGCCCGAGTATTACAGGGACGCGCCTCATTTCCGGCTGGTAGGTGCAGGACCACAATATCGGCTAGAGATACCTTATGCCAAACTCGACTTTACCGGAACGTATTCCGTGATAGCTCGCAACTGCCATGGGGAAGCTAAAGCTATAATTTCCTTGCAAATCTACGCCAAAGGTAAGCTTCGAAAACACGCGAAATTCGCTTTCAACAGTCGTATAAAATTTAATCTGGCGGCTTCTTCAGGTCAAGGCAAAGAAGACCAAACGCAAAAGTCGTCTCACGGGTGAGTTATTGCACTATTTTTATTCGACTCGATTATGGTTTATAAAAATTACATTATTATATTTGTATATATTGTCATATTTCCTATCGTTGATAAAATGTCAAACTTTGCAGGAAAGTGCTGACTCTGCCGATTATAAAGAGAGAACTGCGAGATCTGAGGTGTTGCGACGGCGACGCCGTCTCCCTCGAGTGCAAAGTTTACGCCACGCCGGAACCGCCTTTGGTTCGTTGGGAACGAGGAGGCAAAGTGAGAAAGAGATAATTAATGCGCCTTAATATCAACATAGCCGGTGACTCGCGATGCAAAAAGTATCTCTCGTAGATTATAACTATGGTGGGCGACTTCGCTGCGGAATTCGATGGCGAGACGGCGCGACTGAGTATTCAACATGTCTATCCCGAAGATGAAGGAGAGTACACGTGTGTGGCTTACAACGACCTCGGAAAAGCGTACACGTCAGCTTGCCTAGTCGTGGATGGTAATTTTGTATAATTCTCGGCTGCTTTTGACAAAAGCAGCTTCGCCAAACGAAGACGCGCCGCTTTTCATTTGATGTCTCTGAGTCACGTTCGTATTTATTATGCTAATTATCGGTCGCTCTCAAAGCCTGCGCAGTGACGTGACTGATGAGCTCGAGTTAATCATAAATTTGCGCAAAATAGCGCATTAGCGTACTCACGCGACAAATCAGGATTCATAATGAGCATAACCTTCGTCCCTCGTACGTCAAGGATAACTGTCCGCGCGTTTTTCATGATTTTTTTTTTTTAAAGATATTCGCGTCATTATCGTGAGAAATGAAATACATATGTTGTAGTACCCGAAGGAAAAGAAAATATCCTAAGCCAAAGATTGACGAGGCCGATAGGTTTGCTGTCAGCGGGATCGACGCCGAGGTCAACGCCGCGATCGACGCCCATCAGAAGCCTGTCGCCGGCGGTTTCACGTAAGTAGCACCGAAAAAAATATAATCTCATGCTTAGCGGGATCCTCTTATACATGACCTCGAGAGGATCCCTTTAAGATCAAAAAGAAAATATCCCAAATACAATATTATCTCCAATATTATAAAAAAAAAAAAATACTCAAGGAAAGCTCATTTTCTCTTGCAATTTTCCCAAGAAGTAAGATATAGAGATGCAGTGATGTAGATTCTGAAAATAATCTAGTTAACGTCCAGTTAACAGTCGTATTAACGGCCTTTAGATGGACGCGAATTCAGATCACCACAAGTGCTATCGAGAAGGGGCACGTCAAAACGAACAAAGGTTTGCCCGCCCAAATTTTACGCGGTGCCGCACAACCGCCTGGTCCAGGAGGGTGAGACGGTGCGTTTCCAGTGCGCGGTGGTCGGCCACCCGGCGCCCTGGATAAGATGGGACAAGAATGGCATCATCGTAACGCCGAGCGCGCGAATCTCCATCAAGGAACGGGACGACGTGAAGATACTCGAAATCGTCGACGTGATGCGGGAGGATGCCGCTCTCTATAGAGTGACGGCGGAAAACGATTTCGGCCGGATCGAGGCCAGCGCCCGTCTCGAAGTGATAAGTACGTATTGTATGCTCGTGAATAGTACAATACATTTTATCTGTACACTTCTTCGAGTGAAATTTCGCTCGAAAGGTAGAGTGACAGCCGAGTCTCTCAAATTCAAGAGACTTGTTTTGAGTGAAAGGAAGAGAATCCCTAAGGCCGGTTTCACCCTCTAAAATTAAATCAAAAATATCAGAAACGTTATATTTTTGTAAGATCTATTGAAATAAAGTGATTTTAGTCTAAACGGACATTATTTTGGTGCCTGTTTACACTATAATTCTAATTACGAAAAAACTATTTGTGTAGATATTTAGCAATATACGTTTCTTTAAAAATCATACTGCTCTCTACAAGCTTCCTCAGCGTCTCCAGTACCAGTTCACATTCTCACTGTACTGATTCCAGATAGTATATATTTCAGTGAATCTCAACATGACATTAATTAAAACATGACGATAATTAACCTAACGACAATAAAAAAATGATCCTATAGAGAGCAGTATGATTAAAAAAAAAACATATTGCCAAATATCTACACAAATAGTGTTTTCATAGTATCGAGCGCGCGCGCACACATACACACACAAATATAAAGAGATGATATGTAAGTGACATAAGAGCGTTGGTGATAAAAATGGGATTAATTAGAATTATAATGTAAGCAGGCACCAAAATATGTCCGTTTAATGACTTTATTTCAATACTTCTTACAAAAATATAACGTTTTCTGATATTTTTGGATCAATTTCAAAGGGTGCCAAAAACTGACCTTAGGGGCTTCCCTTTTTTCACTCGAAAAAATTTAGAGAATACATTTAGAATTAGTTTGAGAAATCCGTCGTGCGTTTGACTTTGTTAGAGATTAATTTATTTTGCCAAAAATTAAAAGTTTAAATTTCCAATATTCGCGCTCACTCTCTCTGCATTGTGCGATTAAATTTAAGATTAATTAGAATTAGAAAATTAGGATTTTACGTACGTATAAAATATAGCGTGACTCTGTCCAATACTGTCGAATTAATTGGTGGGCAAAAGGTCGATACGAATCAACAAGTCGGACTATCAGGACTAGAAGCGCCTCGCCTAGGACCTACCCTACGTTCGATCGAAGTCTTTTGCCGACTACCAGCAGAATAAACGGGCGTTTGCAGTTGGAATGTCGCGTGAGAGGAACGCCGAGCGTGACGCCGACGTGGTACAGGTAAAAGCGCGGAGACTTTAACGCGTGGTAAATCCGCGGCTAGAGTTTCATCGTGAATCTTTGTCTAGGAACGGCCGACCGTTGGAACGATCCGCCCGAATAAAGAGATACTTTGACGGTGCGACGGCCAAAATCGAAATATCGAAAGTGAAAGCTAGCGACGCGGGTGAATACACGTGCGTGGCGACCAACGTCCTTGGATCGACGAGGAATAGTTGTCAGGTGAATGGATGTTGAGCATAGGCTAATCAATCGTCATTTGCGCCCTAAAATCCCACGTTATGTTATTTTTTGAACTTGCAACATCCGCAGGTAAACGTGTTACACTCTCACGACTCATCCACCGCGGACAAGGACGCGCCACAGTTTCTGCAACCGTTGCCAGAAGAGTCGATTGTGATGGAGAATCATCCTCACGAATTTCAAACTGGAATTACAGGTAGAAATCGATTTATCTCTCTATTATGTAGACTTGTAGATAAAAGACAAAATTCCTTTAACTTTAAGAATGTTATACTTAGAATATTTTGAGAATGAGATTATACTTTTCTGAATGAGGAATAATCAAATATACTTCATAGTGAAGCCTTTTTCACTCTCACTTTTTCATGTTTCAGGTACACCTCCATTCACGGTCACTTGGTCCAGAGATGGCCGCGAGTTACCCGACAACGATTATTATAAATACGTTCTATACGGAGACGGCGGCGTCGCTCTTCGATTACCGGAGGTTCGTCCGCAAGATGCAGGTGAATACACCTGCGTGGTGCGAAACAATTTCGGCGTTGCGTCGTGCAGCAATCTTTTCGCCGTGCAAGGTATAGTATCAAATTATGGCCTCTCTACTTCAATATACATGTTGTCTAATTCTTCATGTTGTCTAATTCAGGCTACAAAGACGTTGCCAAATTGTCGCCTCAGTTTACAAAGACTCCGTTGTCGGCTATTGTCGCCAAGGGTTCCGCAGCTTGTTTCATTGCTCGAGTGCAATGCGGAAAAGCCACGGACATCGTTTGGACGATCAACGGGAGAGACGCTCGGGAGAATGCGAAGTGTAAGGTACGTGAAACCACCGAAAGTCCATACATTATCCTGAGTATTGTAAACATTGCGTCACATTTGCATAATCGTAAATGGTTATTTGCGTTTTCGTAGATCGAGAGAAACGGCGGCGTCAGTATCTTGAGAATACGCGACGTAACGTCACGCGAAACAGGTGAAATCCGGTGTACTGCCACCGTGAGCGGAAAGGGTCTGTCCATCGGCTGCGTCGCGAGACTGCGATTGCGACATTCAAACGATCTCGGTAATCCCGCAATGGGATCCGAAAGTGGTCAGTCATACTCCAAGTTGTTAACGCCCGACAACGGTGATTTCACGAGCACACCGGGAAGAGTCGCACCAATGTTAAAACGTCGACAACCATGCGAGGAGTCCCCAACACGCATCAGGTCGTCCTCGTTTCCTCGGCGAAGCGCACCATCGTGCACCAAGCATGCTTCTCCTTTGGCCACGAGAAGATGCGCTGTTAACAACATACCGATGAACGCCCGAAAATCACGATTTGACAGCGATCTGTCAATTGCCAAGCACGATTTCGACAGTAAGACAGCGGTGACAAAACTCTCGAGCGACCGGGGATCGTCGTTCTCGTCGAACGACGAGGAAGATGCAACGGACAATCCTAAGGCGTTACCGCGGAAGGCGTCAACGGAATCCCACGGTAAGGAAAGTGACGATATCGGAAGCTGCATGAAGAATCGAGTAGCTGGCCCGCAAACAGAGCCAAAGTCCGACGAATCCAACGACCGAGAGGAAATAATCTGTTGGCAAGAAGATCAAAGTGAAAAGAATGCGGAAACGCGCACGAAGAAGCCGATACGAGCTTCAATTATTAAAGAGCCAAGTGACGTCATCGTATTTAAAGGAAACAGGGCGGTACTGCAAGTCACTTATCAAGGACGTCCCGAACCAGCGGTCAAGTGGCTTCGAGTGGTACGTTCGATTTTCCTGCTTGTAATAATATCTCATCGATTAAACGAGAGAAACATCCGTTTCCATCTACAATAACTAAATTCCTATTAAAGTTTCGTTTAGGACTGATATTATTATATAATTCTGATCTTCCACGCGAGCGAACGAGAGAACAGGTTTCGGCGCAGTTAAATCGGATAATGGAGTGTACTAAACAAAGAAGCCACTGTTCTCCGCAGCAATGAACGCTCTGTTTCGCAATTATAACATAAACTACATCAATATAAATCAGCGCGGTCGTCTAAATAAGCTCCATCGTTTCATATCGCGAGTGCTCGTTCGCGATCTTCGCATACACTGTGAGGAATAATTCGATAAAAAATTACAAAACCGGGAATTTCCGATCAAAATCCAATCAATTCTTATATCCGATTAAACTTAATAAGATACTTCCGATGGCATTTCATCAGACAAACCGATGAAAAACTGAAGAACCGATATTTCTCATCAAATGTTTCCTGATGAGATATAAAAATTAATCGGTATTTGATTGGATCTTGATTGAAAATGTTCGTTTAATAATTTCTTAACGAATAATTTTTCTCTCACCAAATGATTAAACTACAAAAGATATGCAAAATCGGCATGTATCATTTGGTGAGAATTGCTTGTCAGTGTACAGAAATAACGTTATCAGCTATCTGAGACAGTTGCGTTCGCGGTCGATCGGCGGGAAATGTATCGCGAGCAATTTCTTGTGACAAGTATCCCTACTCCGTCGAAATTCGACGTGTCAACCTGACGCAAATCAATCGGTCTCGCTACACACAGGACCGGTGGTAGTGTCGTTCGTTTGCTCATCTCTCTCGTTCGCCGCGCAATCGAACACGCAGCTGCCGATTAATCAACATTATCTACGGTGTTTATCTACGATGTTGTGTGAATTTCGACGCCAACAGCGCGGAAAGCAATATAACGCCGCAGATAATGTTAATTAACGCCAGCTGCGCGCGCGACCGCAGGAATTTTTTTGGGAGATCAATCAACGCGGAGCGCGTTGACGTACTTGACACGCGCTCACCGGACACGTAACGTCGCGATTTCAATTTAAGAATCGGCAACTGCTGCCGGGCGAGAAGATCGACATCGACACCGGGGATGGTGTGTCCCGCCTGACGTTGGACGACGTCACGTACGACCACGCCGGAAAGTACGAGGTCTCGGTGGAGAACTCAGCGGGCAAGGAACGCAGATTCTTCAGCTTGGCGGTAGAAGGTGAGCTGTTTATATTTTTCGTACACGCTTGGGTGCGCGATTCGCACAACGAGACGTTGCGATGCGCTGGCCGAAGTATGACTTGGCGCTTCTGGTTGACGCTTCGCCTTGGATTTGATTGAACTTAATTAGACGACGGGGAGTCTCGCCGATAGCGTAATCGACCGTTTCGGCGAAACGAGACCAAGACTCCTTCCTCCCACACGGTATCGTTTCGCACGCGTTCATGAGCATGATTTTAAAGAACGTGACGTCCACTGCGTGCGTATTGTTGCACGTGCGTAAATGCGTGCGTTGCACGGTCCAGTTCCTCTTCTCTCGCGTACAAGGCAGACGGCAGTCTCACGTGACACACCGCGCAATAATTCCTCCTTCCCGCACTTCCACCGTCGCTTGCTCCGTCGCGGTAATATCAGCTCCACCTCTTCTTCCTCTTTCCTTGAGATCACCGTGTGTCTCTTCTAAGCGTCGCCGAAGACGCGCGTGTACTGTGAGAAGGGACATACGTATCGAGCGACGCGTGCTTCGACGACGTCATGCGATGTTCGAGACTCTGTTTCTTCATTTTTCTTCAGAAAATATACGTTATCAATTCAAGTCGGTCCTTATCACTTCGTAACATTGTCTTATAGTTTAAATTAATCCCACAGTCCACGTACAAGATAGTGAGGTAACGTGATAAGTTGCTCTCCTTTCGAAGAATCGACGGTGACGCGTGCGAATGTAGTGCTTAAATAATTCGTTCTTGATACGACAAGATCCTCATCTTCGCTCAGGTCCACCGGAGCCACCCGCGGACAAACCTAGTATAAACCTGAGCGTTGGTCAAGCCACGATTGTCTGGCGATCACCAGCTTACGACGGAGGCCGTACAGTGATCGGGTATACCGTGGAGGCGAAACGTGCCGGTGAAAGCACGTGGATGGTAATCGCAGAGTCTTGTCATTCGTTGAGTCAAACGTTGCCAACAACTCAAAGCGATTTCGTGGTACCAGGCGAAAGTTACTGTTTTCGTGTCCGGGCTGAGAATATTCACGGTCTCAGTGATCCTAGCATCGAGTCCGATCCCGTGAGAATTCCTAGGCGTGGAGAGACGATGTTGCAAGAGGAGGAAGAAGGTAACTAATGTACCTGATATGATTAATTTAATCTCTAGTCTCCAAATATCTTCGAATTAAATTCCAGCTGGAAAATAGAGTGACAGCCAAATCACTCTAATTTAAGTCACTCATATAAAGCATTAAAATATAATTAGAGGAATCTTTCTCATTCTTAGAGGAATCTTTTTATGTCATGGCCTTAAGAGAATTCTTCTAAAATATCAAAAGGAAAATATTTCAATACCCCAAAAAAGAGCTCTAATTGCAAAATGCTATTCTCTGCAATATCATATCCTAAGCGAAAATTTTTACCGAAAGAATATTTCTCTCTTTCAGAGTTGTAAAAAAATATTAAATAAATATTTCTCGATTTAATGATTGATTTGAACCAATATGTTTCAATTCGACTAACTGACTAACTGACGATTAATTTAAACAAAATCAATCGAAGAATGTTTAATTGACAGTTGATTTCGACGAGTTCAATTAATTATAATGAGATAATCATTCTAAATAATATTCATTTTATTTTTTCAGAAAATTTCGAACCGAGCTTCGAAGCTCGCATAGTCGAGCCGGAAGAAAGTCGACTCTTCGACGAGAGATACGACGTTCACGAGGAACTGGGTAAAGGCCGATACGGCATAGTGAAGAAGGTGATCGAGCGTACGACAGATATGTGCTTCGCCGCAAAATTCGTCAGGACAATCAAAGCGAAAGATCGCGAGCAGGTGCGCGAAGAGATCAGGATTATGAACGTGCTGAGGCACCCGAAGCTTCTGCTGCTGGCCGCGGCTTATGAGAGTCCTCGTGAGACCGTGATGGTCATGGAATAGTGAGTATATCTCAGATTGATCGTTAGATCGACCGCCAACGTGTTGAACATCAATGACGATGCTCTAACCCCGAGTCTCTCTTCAGTATTTCAGGCGGTGAACTGTTCGAGAGAGTAGTGGCCGACGATTTCACTTTAACCGAGAGGGACAGTATTCTCTTCATGAGACAGATTTGCGAGGGGGTCGAATATATGCACCAAAATAAGATCGTGCATCTGGACTTAAAAGTATGCATTACAAATTTAATTGAACGCAAAAAGGATGTATAATTATGTATAATTAAATAATCAATCATTTGTATAATCAAATAATGTATATAAAAATAATTGTGTATATATATAATTATATATCAATCCCCACTGAGGATTATAAATTTCATGTTTCTTATAAATTTCTTATACATTTTATGAATTTTGTTTCTTATAAATTTGTTTGTTATAAGAAATAGTTTCATACAATTAAACCTTTAATTATATATGATTTGAGAACAAAATTCATAAATAATTGTATGTAACAATTGTTTCTCGCGTGGTTTCTTTCTGTTAATCGTTTCGTTCGTTTTCCAGCCAGAGAACGTGATGTGTCGCACGCGGACTTCTCACCAGATCAAGTTGATCGACTTTGGACTGGCTCAGACACTGAAGCCCGACACGCCAGTTAGAGTGCTTTTCGGTACACCGGAATTCATTCCGCCGGAGATCATCGGTTACGAGCCCATCGGCACCGAGTCAGACATGTGGAGCGTCGGTGTGATCTGTTACGTTCTGTGAGTTACCTTTGAGCAATTATTTCTATGCGGCACAACGCGCGCTCGACTATCTAGTTCGACATCGTAAGCGACTGACATTGTAAACAATAATCGTAGATTGACCGGTTTGTCGCCGTTCATGGGAGATAATGACGCCGAGACTTTCGCCAACATTACACGCGCGGATTATGATTTAGAAGACGAAGCTTTCGACGCCGTTTCAAACGATGCCAAGGACTTTATCAGTGGTCTACTCATTAAACGGAAGGAGTAGGTGTTTCATTCATTTTTGTTTTTTTTTTTATACTGAGAACAAGATATGTGGTTGATTTAACTAAAATTATTTTTTAAGTTTTTAAGTTATTTTTTGGCCCAATCATATTTTTTGGTTATTCACCACGGAAGTAGTGGTAGTAATATGCATATAAGTTATTATCACTAATATTATAGTAGAGTTTAAAAAAATATAATATTATAATAGAATAAAAAAAATATTTTTCTTGACTATAATTCATAATAATTATTTCTCTATGTGATTATGTGTTACAAATATCAAAAATTTTTTCTCGGTATAATATATTTCGTTCTTTTCCTTCCTTTTTTATTATTTAACGATATCACGCGAACTTGAAAACGTTGCACATATCAATTATTTTCGACACAGATTACGTATGTCAGCCACGCAATGTCTGCAACACCCATGGATGGCGCAACGTAAGGCGGCTATGAGCAGGGTGGTTTTGCCGACAGACAAACTAAAGAAATTCATCGTACGGAGAAAGTGGCAGGTGAGTGCCGCCAAATACATGACGCATACATGACGCATTTCCCAGAGAGTTTTATGACCGTTGTTTCGTTAAAAATGTTAGGGTAGCTTGAAATAATTTCAGCATGCGTTTAAGCTTCGAGTGTGCATGCGTTGCGCTGTTTATTTCGACAGAAAACAGGAAACGCCATTCGCGCATTGGGAAGAATGGCGATGCTCTCTGCGTACAGCAGACGTAGTCCCACAACGACAGCAGAATCGTCACCTACGCTTGAAAAACAGTTCGACAGCCTCGAGATGCAATGTCCCGACGATGCGATTAAGTCGAGCCATGCTAAAGTCAATGAAAATACGGAACACGTCGAGGTACAAGAAGTTATGCACTCCTCTTTTCTCTCCTGTGTGATGGGAAGAAATATGAATACACAAGAGATGTCGATCGATAATACCGAACGCAAGCTCGTCCCCGAAGCTCGTGAGGAAGAGACTGCTCATACAGATGACTCAACACAGGCAGTTGATCATGAGAAAAACTTCCAGAACGTCAGTTCAGTTATGAATGAAGAATCATTGATGAAAAAAAGAAACAGCTCGAGTAATTCTTTAGAGCGGATTAATATCGAGGAAAAAACGTTCGAATTGACTCCAAAGCAAAGTATCCTAGAAGATATCCCGGCACATCCGCAGGTCATAGAGTCGGAAGAGAGCGAGGAACGCGGCAAAGAGAAATCCTCCGAAGTAGAACACATTGTCTCGAGATCGCAGGCATTTTATAGAGTTCTTCGACAGAATTCCCGAGATTCCGGAATAGGTGATTGTCAAATGACTTCCCCGTTGCAAGTGGACGAATTGGGAATAGTGTCTACCATCAAGGAAGAAGCGGATGAGTCTGAAGGCAAACGAATACCTAGAAGGGAAGAAGCGATGAAAAATCGGCGAAGCTCAACGTCGGGAATCCTGACCACTTTGGCGCGTGGCAAGGAAAGCTCTTTCTACGATACGGAAAGTATCTGGAGCGACGACAAGGTAGCTACAAACAGTGGTGTGACTAAAGCTTCGTGTGAAATTAATCTCGACCGAAAAGGTGTGTGCGATTGCAATAAACTCTCATTTACGATATTGACCGCCAAGGCAAACAGGGAAGTTAAACTGATGTCAAAATGATTTCAAAATATGATCCAATTTTAGTTTGTCAAAATGATGTTAGGTGGAGGTTAGACATAGACATAACATTGTAATCTTTTCTCCTTTCTTCCATTAAGCATTAAATATCTATCTATTTCATTTTAAATGCAAATAGAGCAGCGTAAAGATTTCGTGTGACTACTGAAGATTCTACTCATGCAAACAACAATTCATGCAGGCAACAAAATCGAGCGAAACTTCAGGCAATTATTTATTTTGCATCTTGAAAAAATAAAGTATCTTCTACATTAAAATAATTTATTATTATTGTTAATAATAAAAAAGATTATTATATATATATTAAAGAAAAAATAAATATTTGTCAGTTATAATTGAAACTAAAAAAAAATCAATTAAAACACAAATGTAAGACGTAAGTCTTATAAAAAAAGTTTAAAGTTTTATTATTTTGATCAGCAACTCAGGTCAACTTTTCTGAACACTGTTATCTGAATAGTCAAATCGTGTTGATTAATCTTGTTGATTATTCTTATATCATAGATTTTCATAATAATAAGCATATATAATCTAAAAACATAAACGTTTTCTAAAAATAAAAAAAAAACAATAAAAAAGGAGATAATATAAAGTCATTTTTAAGTCATCTGAAATCGAGATTTTATGACCAGAAAATGACACAAATTTGGTCAGTTTGATATCATTTTGACTTTTCTGTTCTCCTTGGGCATGTATCGCGGACAGTGAGGTAACCTTGTTAGCATTCTATAATTGTCTGCAGTTGCCGACGAGAATACGGATGCAAGGATATTAATCGGACGTACCCGTGACAAGTTCGTGCCAACTGGAAACGTGAGCCGCACGGCCAGGATATTCGAGAGGGACAACGCAGCATCGAAGTCGGATGAATCGCAGGTGTCCGCGGCGCAACGTGCATATCCCGCTGCAATAGTCGCCGGGAAGCCGTACAACGAGAGAATACAGAAGGCCTTCGCGTTCTGGAACAAATGAAAATATTTTATTGATGTATGTTCGTTGAATACAATACAGATCGCACGCATACACATATGAACCCGAATTAAAGTGTTATTATTTGAAATTTGTCTAGATTTGAGTTCAAAATTACGTGAGAGCTGTTCGGTCGAATCGCGATTACAAATATAAATGTCATATATATAATTCAACTGAAATATATATAATTCAACTTGATTCTGACTTTGAATAAAAATCTGAGTATCTGAGACAAGTTTCAGATGATTATTACTACAGGCCATATACACTTAGCTACTGTACGTAAAAACGCAATATACAATATGTAGTGAAGCAGAGAAGTCGATATAACAGCCTCAAAACATTTCAGAGATTTGTAACTTTGATCGATTCGATCGATCGCGCCGCAAAGTCTGCGAAGAAGCCCGACTCAAATAACATATTTATTGATATCGCAAACCCTGCTTGTGTTTATTTAAACGCTAATAATTGTACTCGCAAGCTAAAACGACCACTCCTATATCGAAAATATGCTCGTGCGCGCCTTGTATCGTTCGTATTGGGCTTGGATTTTAATTTTGAAACGTTAGATTTCTCTGCTACATATTTATGTGCAATCGGCTTGATTTTTTTTTATTTGGTGAGGTACACTTTATGGCACGAAAATGCGGAAATTTTAAACTGAGAGATGTCCATGTATATAGTTGAATACGTGATGTTTCGCAAGCGAATGACGGTATTATATCTAGTATTATATTTGGCTGAATACATAAGTGTACTTTGAATTATTCATGCAAGTTGCCACACCCTCGCGCAGTTACATATTGTTGTCAAGTTGAGACGGGCAAACAACATCTGTATTATTACTATAAGTTATTTACATAGGAAAATAAAGAATATATCTACATTCGAGCGAGTTATGTTAACGCGCTTGCGCATAGAG